TCTATTTGGAAGTGTCATTCTAAGGAAAACTTTCAGTACCACATTTCCTTTGTTCTGGAAGCTTTGGTGTGAGTTTTATGTTTAGAAGAAAATTGTACTAAGCGTTATTTTGGCTTATTATGTATAAATGTAATTATGGAAATTTGAAATTTGTTTTTGTAACACTTCAGTGCTTTTCCTCTAGTTCTTAATGTTGCTTTTGAACCATGATCCAAGTCTCAGTGTATCCGTGTTTTACTTTATTGTGAATTGTGAATGTTCAGTAAGAAACACAGAACAGAAAATGAGAACATTTTTCGTATGTTTTGCTGGAAACTCAAAACACTAGCTCTGTTCCAGCATTAATTATTTTGGATTGGATAGCAGAACAAGAAATAGAGTTTAGAAATTTGTCGGGTTTACGGAAGATAATTTTTTTAAATTCCAGATTATTATTGGTATTCCATTTTTTAAAAATCTCTATTGAAGCAAGCATGTTCTTTTCCAAATAATAATAACAACAACATAGATGGTATGCATTTGTGGGTCAAAGTTAGTTTGTGAAACACAGTGAAATCAGGAAGTCGGTCCACATCATTGTTACCTCCCTAGGCACTGCCGCTTACAGTCGCGCTCTTCAACTCTTGGTGGGTCTTATTTGGAGCTGTGAGCCTCTTCAGCAACTGGTATTGCCTGTCTCTTAAGTCAAGAAGTGGACTTTAAAACTGCCCTGTCCATGTAATAGTTACCAGCCCCAGGTGACTGAATTAAATAAATTAGAAAACGAGTTCCTCAGTTGCGCCAGCCACTTTTCAAGTTTCCTATGGCGACATGTGGCTTGGTAGTGCTGGGCTGGGCCGTGTAGTCATTTCCCGAGTTGCAGAAAGTTCTGTTGGACAGCACTTCTCTAGACTGCAATTAGAATTTGTATCTGTGCTGGAGAATCTTGTGACTTTAAGGTATGGTACCAGCTTCCTACCACTTAAACAATAACATGTAAGTGAAATTCTCACATCTTACTCTTCAGTTAAATGTGTACATTGACATCATACTTCATAGCATATGGCAGTCTGCCCATATTCTCTCTTATGACATTGCATTCTACCCTCAGGCACTGGAACAGCGTTTTACACAGGCATACACATGTGCAACAATTTTGAGTATGTGTACAAGTGTGTGTGTAGGGACTATAACTATGTATATATAATTAAATATACTAACACAAATAATATTTCATAACTAAAATATGTAGATGTCCTAATACCGTAGGCACTGTCTAAAGTTGTAGTTTCCTAAGTTTCGTACATTGGCGTGGTTTCATATTGAGTTATTTCTTGATTAAGTTGGTTTCACTTTTTGTTGACTGAACCTTGTGGAGGAGATTTGATAGGATTTATGGCTGAACTCTTCCAGAGTAAGAAGGCCCACTGTTGCTTTGGTGTATCATCCATTTATGTGGAGACTAAGTGGGCAACAGAGACAGCATCATCGGGGTCACCAGGAGACATTGTCCATTTGTTCAGGTAACAGTTCTCACACCTTTTAGGCCACCGGGTCCTTGCATGCTGTGCACTATGCCAAGCACTTGAGGAATAAGACAGAGTCTTAGGGAGGAAAGCAGCTGTACAAAGGACTGATTGACATGCAAGAGGAGGGTTCTCTGATAGAAATTTGTCCAAGGTGCTGGGGACACCCTGGAGTGGTCAGCTCTACCTGGCACAGATAACAGGTAGAACAATAGAAAGTGTTACCAGTATTCTTTCACACCAGTTTCCAGTTACTCCAAACAGAAAAGTTCCTTGCCCAAATCTCTCAGTATTTTGGAAATTTTGTAAACCGTGGGGGAAATATTTTTAAAATGCCGTTCAAAAGCATCCTTTTAATGACTTTGTAAGATTCTGTATGGAGATGTATCCTAACTTATTTACTCGGTTCCCTTCTGTCACCAGCCTTACCACTCTGCTCAGGACAGAGGGGTTTCCCAAGATTTCGTAGAACTTTCAGTTTTCTAAAACAGGAATGGTCCTGGGAAAACTGGAATGATTGGTCACTCTCCCTATTGTCAAATATTTAGATCGCTTCAATTATTTACTCATATAAACAGTACTATGTTACTATTCCGATGCCTAAGTATTTAGCTGCACTTTTGCATTATTTCCTTAGATGAGATTCCTAGAAATGGAATGAATGGCTCAGTGACTCTGGACATGTTTGGAGCTCATGGTAACTCCTACAGCCCTTTATTGTATTTTTGCCATTTTTCAGCCAGATTGGTAAAAATCTGCCTGAACGTTTTGTGCTGCCTTTGCTTCCACAGGGTCTTAGGGAGATATGCAGAAAACAGAGATAGGAACATACTAGCTTGGCTACCATTCTGAATCTCTCACTGGCCAAATTACATATGACTCCAACTACCTTTCCTTTTTTTTTTTTTATCACCTTTTATTGTCTCATTTTATTTCACATAAATATTTCTTGAAATTCAGTTACACGTAACAAGTATTTATTGCCTACTCTGTGTTGAGTTTCATGCTGGACAAAAAATGGCAGAATATCAAGTAAATAGAAGATACCGTCCCAATTCACTGTTAGAGCACAAGAGTACTAATTATTACAACGCAGTCCAACTACCTTTGTCTAGGCAAAGCTGAAGTCTGATTCCAAAAGAGAGTGGACTCCCTGAGCCCATTCACCTACAACCACACCCTGACGTGAGTCCCTGACTCTCAGGGCACAGCGTAGAAATAAAAGCATGAGATCAGAGGAAACCCAAGGCTGGCTGTCTTTCTTCCCAGTCCAGCTTCAGCTATACATCACCCCAGGCCTCCACCCCCTGTCACTCAGGATGTTGCAGACTTCTCTTGGATCCACTGCTAGCCGGGCTCTTGCCTCTTTCAGCCTCCCTTTGCTTAGGGTAAGGAAGCCATGAAAACCCCCCGAGTTAGAGTGTGTCCCCGCAGCCCTGACAGTTGGGAATATGATGAGATACATGAACTAGCATTCACAAGTAAAAATATATTCAACCTGCCCCACAGTGCAGCATTGAGAGTTCATGCCATGAGGTGACCTACTTTCCTGTGGAACTTCAGTAACTAAATTTCCCTGGTTGGGGTCCAAAGTCTCATACCAAACTTCTTTGTAGTAAGAAGTGTTGAAGTGTTGTTCTATTTCAGGCCTTCTTAACATGTGCCCCAGGGGTCCTGTGAACCCCTGAAACTGTGTACAGTGTAATTTATGTGCCTTTTTCTAAGAAAAAGTTACACTGCTTTTATCAGATTCTCAAAGTGGTCTATGACCCAGAAAAGGTGTAACACAACTGCTTTGTGTACATTAAATACTCAGAAGTTTCTCCTGTTACTTCTTTCGTTTGTTTTATGTAGGACTTATGCCACGGCTTTGAGGTAGGCATCCGTTTAACAATGATTTCAACAAGTAAATTATATGAACTCTTAGTTAATAAGTTAAAATTCCCTGATTTTTTTTTTCCTTCAGGTATTTACTTCTGAGTTAAATTTTATTTTTTTTTTTGGTTAATTTTGCTATTAGGAAGTTGTTTCAGGTCCAGCTAATTTGTTTTTGTCCAGGCAATATATGTAAACTGTTAAAAGGTTTGTGGAACAGTTGTTAGCCTACATCTAGGCATTGTTCTACATTATTTTTGGTGTATTCTTTTGTTTATATTACTAAGCTAAAGTTAGCACAGATAGCACCAGGCTAGAAAATGGTGACAATAGTTTGAAAACAGGAAATTTTAGGCTTTTGTGTGTTTGGAACAGATGATCATAATGATAGAGCCAGTGGAGTGGAAACTTCCACCGAGCCTGTTTTTTCCTTATTTTGCTCTATGAGAAAAGATGGTGCTTCCTGGAAAACAACTCAAGTCTTTTAAAGCAAATGGTTTTCTTTTGTCCCCGTTTCATGGCTAATTTGTTTTTCTTTATTTTATTTACCCTGGTTGTATTATTATGGAAATTTAATACTTTTTAATAGGTAAAGTAATTCCCAGAGTGCTTATTTAGATATTTAATATTTAGATATTTAGTATATTACCATTTATTGACATGGTTTTTAAAGAAAATTAAAATAATATGAATATTATAGCCACCAAATTTTATGGGAAATCTTTTAAGTGCTCCCAACTTGCCTTTTTTTTTTAACCCCCTAAATTCCAGTCTTTAGAACAAAGTAGTTCTACTTTGTCTAAGCTATTTCCTGACTAAGACTCCTTCCAGATGTATCCTGGAATTCTATATTTAAAAGAAAGACTAAATTCATTCACTAATTTCAGAGTAAGAAGAAGAGTATACATTTCCATACATACATAAACTTTTTTGTTTCGTGTACATTGTTCCTAAATTTTTAAATATTAATAGACTTTCTTTTTTAGAGCATTTTTAGTCATAAGCTTTTTAAGCATGTTATATATTTTTTTAATTATAGAAGTAATAAATGGAAGCTCCTTGAAAAAAATCAGACTATACAGAAGTATATAAAATAAAATTAGGAAACTTGTCTGACCTTCCCATCCCTATTTCTGGAATTACCACAGTGAAGGATTCCAATGTGTCTCCTTCCAGACATGTTATCTAAACGTAGTTTGTGTGTACAAACACATATTCATTTCAGGCAAATGGGAATTGTACTGTATGTATAATTCTGCAATTGCTCTTTCTTTTCATTTGACATTATGGGCATTTTTTCATATATAGATCTATGTTTTAAGTGTTTTACATCGATTTGTTACTGTATAGGTGTTTTATCATTTATTTAACTTAACCATTACCCTGGTGAAGAAATTTAGATTAAAACCTGTCTTACTAGACCCCTGGGTGGCTTATTCAGTTAAGCATCTGCCTTTGGCTCAGGTCATGATCACAGTGTCCGGGGATCGAGTCCGCGGGCTCCTTGCTCAGCGGGGCGCCTGCTTCTCCCTCTACCCCCCGCCCCCGCCCCACTCATGCTCACTTGCTCTCTCTCTCAAATAAATAAATAAAACCGTTTTTTAAAAAAACTGTCTTATTAAAAATGGCATTTTCATCTTATGAAACACATATCTTCGTAACATTTTACAGATTTCGGCGATCATACATAAATTTTGAATTCTACCAAAGAATTCATGGTAACAATCTTTTTTCCTTAACCATCAGTAGCCTTTTAAGAGATTTCAAATAAGAAAGTTTCACTGTCCTTCCTTTCCCAGTTTGCAAGGATGATAGAGGGTTAGTAAAATTACAGTGGTGATGTTTCTTGGGCAGTTGGCTCAAGAATGTAGAGAGTGCTGTTCTTCAGTTTATCTGGTCAAGGCAAACTTTGTTAGGGTTCGACAACGATGAGGGACCAAATGCAGTCATCAGAGTTCTTTCGGAAGTGCTGTAAGAGAATGAGCTTGTTAATGGGCTGCTTGGGACCCATGTGCTGAGAGTTCAAAGGAATGTAGCTGGGAGGTCCCTTAACTAGGGGGGAGTTGAGGAAAGCTTCAGAGGAGAGGCCTTGAGGAATGAGTAGGAGCTCATTGGGCGAGAGAGATAGGGTGTGTTAGACTCAAAACAACAGAGCGTGGGTGTTTGGTGCAGTCGTCTGTGGAGGTGAAAGGTCAGAGAGGTGAGCGGCAGGTAAGTATGATTTAAGAGAACCCTGTATGCCATTCTATGAAAGGAGTTTGAACTTCACCCTCGTAACAACTTTGGACTTCTTTTTTCTTTCCCCGAGATCTTCTCCACTCAGTTCACTGACTCTCTGCAGTCCTTCTGGTGAATGGAAAACTCCAAAAGCATCCCATCAAGGCTTTGAGGGCTTCACAACGTGTAAAGTGCTGTTGCAGATACAGAAAAATTAAAGGAATGGTCTTGGCTTTCAAGGAACTTGATGTCTAGTTGGGGAAATAATTATAAGCATTGGGAACATTTGGAAATGTATGTAGTAAAATAACAGATGGTTCCACACTGTCCCATAGCGATGCAAGAGACATTTCAGAGCAGTAACTGCTGTGTTGCCAAGAGTCCAGACGGAAGGTGTGGAGAGGAAAGGGGAAGGTTTGGACAGAATCTTAAAGAACTAAGGATTAGGTTTCCAGTAGTAGAAAGGAGTTCAAACATTTGCCGGTGGGATAAATATTGTGAACAAAAACAAGGAGGGAGATACATTTAACCTCACTGGCAACAGTAGAAGGCATGAGGAATTAGATAGATACAAGCTTAAAAGGATCTCTGATTGTTTCTGAAATTCTGTTTCATTGAGCAACCTAATTCTGCCTGTTGATTGGGCCAGTGGTTCTCAGCCGAGGCGGTACGTTAGAATCATCTGTTGAGCATTTAAAACTACCTATGCCCGTGCTAGGGCTAATGCCCCAGGCCGACTGTCTATCAGAGATGGGGCCCCAGGCATCAGGGTTGTTGTTTTTTTTTTTAAGTAAAATTCTCCAGATATTTCTTATGAGCCGTTAGAGTTGAGAATCACTGGACCACCTTGACCTCTTTTTTTTAAGCCCACCCATATATTGGTTTTTTTTTTTTTTTTTTTTTTTTTTTGAGAGAGAGAGAGAGCATGAGGGGGAGAGGGTCAGAGGGAGAAGCAGACTCCCTGCCGAGCAGGGAGCCCGATGCGGGACTCAATCCCGGGACTCCAGGATCATGACCTGAGCCGAAGGCAGTCGCTTAACCAACTGAGCCACCCAGGCGCCCTGGTTATTTCTTTAGTAATCAATTCTTCCAGTAAAGGATTCAGGGAAGGGATTAAGGAGTCTTGGGGAGCCTTACAGCGGGCATGTTCTCTATCGGTGATACACAGAGAAGTCAGAAAACGGCAGCACGGCAGTTACAGTGTTTTTCTTTAAAACAGAGCCCGTTTGCCATTTTAGGCCAATTAGGCATATTTTGTGAGTTTATTAATATTCTTGCAGGTAATGGTTTGAGGCTCATCTGGATTGAGATTTTTTTTCTTCCCACCGGATAATGGAGCTCCAGCTGTAGTCTCTAGCCAGGGTGTACATACCCATACTCAGTAGGGTGTATGATAAACCTATCTTAAGACCTCGCTTCAATGGGACAAGCCTGTTTTCAGTTTAACTTACGTAATTTGCTTAAGTACAGAAAGTATTTAAAAGAACAATTCCTTTAAAATGAAGTTTAAAACTACCTCCCACATCTGTAGAATTTTTAAAACAAATTAGTTTATGGCTTATACACCTCTATCTTGCCTGAGTTCCCCATTTACAAATGGGTGGGGCAGAATGCAGTTATATCATTATCCCCATAATGCATAAGATAATGTGAGAGCTTCCCTGTTTTTATCCTTGCCTCCTTGGACTGGCATATTCAGCAGATGTAGACTGAACACCTCCTTAGGGCTGGGCAGTGGGAAAAGAAAGATGAAGGTGAAAAAATATGGCTCCAGCTCTCAAGAAACTTACTTGTAGGAATGTCAAACATCATAACTAGCGTCAGGGTGGAAATGGGGAGCGTGCAGGGGCCCATTCAGGGATGGTGCCCTGAAGGGGTCTGAGCTGAGTCTAGGGGGGTGGATTTTGTGTCATAGGGCAGCATGTGTCAGGCCAGAGGCAGGGGAGAATCAGAGTGTTAGGGGGACTGCAATCACTTCTGATGTGGTTGGAAGGCAGAGAGGCAAGAAGTGAGGCTGGAGAGAAAGGAGAGGCTTGGAGGGCCCTGTGTGCCCTGCCTGCCAGATTTGGGCTCTATCCTGCAGGCAGTCACTGGATACAGGGAATGGGTAAATGGCCGTACAAATACTCCAAGCATTATGGATATTTAGTTTGGCATCTCATCTAAATATATTCCATTGGGATCCATGGACTGTGTAGGCTCTTCTCTTTGGATGTTAATGTAGTAGCCAAAGTTACTCTTAAAACCCTGAGACAAGACACTGGGACTAGAGGAGGGTGCTTTTAAGCTACTTCAAAATGCAGACCTAATGATGAAGTCTTATTACTGCATCATTTGTTCAACTTAAAATTGAAGTGAGTATTGCATATAAGAAAAGACAACAAAGTAAATTTGCGTAGTTCCTCTCAAGCAAACCTGCTTGTAATGGAAGTCCAGTAGTGAAAATGATTTTTCACATGAATTTTGTGTAAAATTGCTTTGAGTATTTGGTTTTGAAGGTTTCTAGAAAACTTGTCCTTTTTTGTCTGTTACTGCTGCAGGATTGGTGAGGCAATGTACAGCTTTCTCTGGGGCTACCAAGGCAGCAAGGATAAAAATAGGGCAAACTTTAAGAATCCCAGATATTTTCAGATAACAAAGACTGATTTATGTGGGCCCATTTTGCGCTCTGACAAAACATAGAGAAGCTTTTGTGCTGTGATTAGCAGGGGTGCTGATGTCAGTTCTCTTGTCAAGCATCAAGCTTTATTCTGTGGCTAAATTGTGCTTTGTACCATAATCCAGAGAACCTTTGTATCTGCCTTATTAAAGTGTGTAGTTTATGTAATTGCTTTTGTTTTCCAGTTTAATCTGTGCCAGATTCGATGAGAGTGACTCATTTTGTGACTGAGACAAACATTCACATTTGGACCATGTTAAAAATAAATAAGTGGCAGGTGCTGTTGGCTAAAGTCTGTGTTTTAATGTTGTAATTTCCTGCTGTAAGGGTTCCTCTCTTATCCTCTGTAATCGCTAGTGCAACCTATCTACTGCACCCTGATTGATTGCTACTCATTTCTTGGCTATTTATTTTAGTTTCCAAGAGCCTTTTAAGTTTGAACAATATCATTTCATCAGAGAAGCAAAGAAATGGCAAGGGGGCCACAGTTAACTGGAAGGCAAAGAGTGACACATAAGCCGTAGCAGAAGGACACCTTCCATTCTTTTCTTTCTGTCATTTTCCCAAGGTGTTTTGTGCGTGTGTTTTGGTAAAGCTGTCTTAGTTATGTTTATTTTATTATGCATATGTTCAGTATTGGAGCTCTTTTTCTCAAGTGGAAGAGTTTTTGAAAGCACGCCTTTCTATTCAACGTGGCCCATCTATCTAATCTAATATTCTCAAAATTTTACAACCGTAGAGTCTTCGGGGAATTCTCTTTATTGTACAAGTATTTCTAGGTACCAGACGCTGTGCTATGCATTGAGTATGTAATGACAAATTGTCACTGTCTTCATGGACTTTACAGTCTGCTGAGGGAGTTAGGTGTTAAATAAATACAAAGAAAATTTAAATTTCAAAATGACAATAATCACTACATAGGTATTAAAGTGTATTACATAGGCAATAAGATCCTGAAATTGTGCCCTACTTTACATTAGGGGCCACTGGGAAGGGAAGGCCTAGAAGGTCAGAGTCAGCCTGCCGAAGACAAGGAAAGAACATACTAGACTCAGGAAATGGCATGTGTAAAGTCTCTGCGGCAGGAAACAGTTTGGCATCCTATTAACTGTATTATTAGAAGAGAGAAGTGACAATTGATAAGCCTAACTGTACTAAGAAGATTATAGATGAACTATAGGAGCACAGCAGTATGGCACTATTTAGCATAGGGGCAAATGATCCTCCATACAGTTCAGTAGCCTTTGAGAGCTTCCCTAAAAGTGCAGAATAGAGATTGATGCCTGTAATACTAAGTGAGTCATTGGGGACTGGATGAATTATGTTCAATGAATTATGTAGCAAGGCATTTTAGAAAGATTTCCATACAAGACATTAAAGTTTTAAAAAGTCATTTCTGTATTTAAAGACAGAAGCTTCACTATCTGGAGAAATCACTTACTAAAAGATAGGATTCCTCGATGGCCCTAGATAAATGATATAATACTGTATTTTCTTTTCTCCTTACTTCTCTATTACTTTTGCAAGCTTCCTGCTTGATAGGGAGGTATCCATAGAAGCATAACTTTACTAAGAGATGATATTTATTTATTTTGAAGTAAATAGATGTCTTATGTGGTAACTAAATGGATTTTTGTAATCCAGAAACCAGTGCTAAATTTATGTGAATTAACACATCATGATTTTTCAGTGTTCTCTAATGCATGTGTAAGAACTCCCCACTGCCTTCTCCTTCTGGACACCACTAATTATTTACTCTTTACTTGGAGCTGTAGTCAGACTGGGATGTTAATTTAAAACCTTGATGACATTAAAGAACTACATAATATTTTTAGGCCTTTGTGATATTTCTACCAATATTGTTGAAGAGGATCGCACCCAGTTTTTCCAGGAAGGAATGTTTCTCCATTAAGCGATAGTTTTGCAGATACTTTGCCGGGTTTGCTATATTCTCAAATATTTTCACGTATGGTAAATGTTTTCTTCATTATTAGTCAGTCAACTCCTTGAGAGTAGCATCATGAATTACCTACTTGTATTTCTTCCTACAGGTGTTTACAATATAATCAATAATTTACTGACTGGTTAACTCATTGATTTACCTTTTAGTGTATCTATATTTCCTTGAATGGATACAATTTAAAGAATCTATTAAATATTAAACCTAAAGTTATCACCCAAGTTAATTCAGTTATGGGTACAGTTGTCCAGGTTAGTAAAGAGGAAGACCTTCGAGAGGAGTAAGATTTTGTATTGTTTCTGGGCAGAGTTGTTGGTTTTAAAGACAGCTGAAGCTGACTGTTTCAGTCATTTGGTTCTGCTTTTATTATTTAACCAGTGTAGATTTCAGGGAGAGTAATAGTACAAGAATTTAGGGTTTCTTCAGGCATAGCATCATATTCAAAATTTACCAAAGCTTGTGGAGAGAATACATTCTGTGAGTACATATCCAGATTGCCAATATATGTTTGTTGGGAAGAGAAGGAGAAAGGGAAAGGAGAAGGAAGATTGCAACCTATACTCAAAGAATACAGATCTTACCCATGTGGTCTTTGAACAATAGACTGACCAGAAGAAAGACACAGTCCATTTCTTTGCTTGCTTTTCTTTTTTTTTTTTTTTAAAGATTTTATTTATTTATTTGACAGAGTGAGAGAGGGAACACAAGCAGGGGGAGTGGGAGAGGGAGAAGCAGGCTCTCCGCTGAGCAGGGAACCCGATGCGGGGCTCAATCCCAGGGCCCTGGGATCATAACCTGAGCCGAAGGCAAACGCTTAATGACTGAGCTACCCAGGCGCCCCTCTTTGCTTGCTTTTCAAGTGAGAAATCGGGAAAGCTTCTGAACCCTTCCCCCCCCAACTCCTTGCAACCCCCCCCCCACACACACACACAAAAGAGAGAGAGAAATCTATAGCTTAAAATACAAAGGAGTCTTTTGAAGCATCTTTATGTATTCTTTATGGCATGATATTAAGGCATGAAAAAACATTGCTTTTTTTTAATGCGGTAAGATATACCTAACATAAAATTTACCATTTTAACCATTTTCAAGTGTACAGTTTCAGTGGCATGAAGTACATTCACTTTGTTGTGCAGCCATCACCACTGTCCATCTCCAGAACTGTCCATCTTCCTAAAACTGTACCCACTAAACACTAACTCCTTATCCCTGCCTTCCAGCCACTGGCAACTACCATTCTGCGTTTTGTCTCTATGAATTTGATTACCAGTAGGTACCTTATATAAGTGGAGTTATATAGTTTTTTGTCCTTTAGTGACTGGCTTTTTTCACTTAGCATCACGTCTCAAGATTCATCCATGTTATGGCATGTGTCAGATTTTTATTCCCTTTTAAGACTAAATAATATTCCATTATGTGTGTATACCACATTTTATTCATTTCTTCATTCAGCAGTGGACACTTGGGCTGCTTCTACCTTTCGACTGCTGTGGATAATGCTACTATAAACATGGGTGTACAAATACCTGTTTGAGACCTGGCTTTCAATTCTCTTGGATATTTATTCACAACTGAAATCTTTGGAGGAACTGCCGTACCGTTTTCCATACCAGTTACATCATTTTGCATTCCCATCAGCAATGCACAATGGTTCCAATTTCTGCCATCGTGGCCAACACTTGTTATTTTCTGCTTTTTTGATAACAGACATTCTAATGTGTATGAAGTTGTGTCTCATTGTGGGTTTGATTTCCATTTCTCTAAATGATAATGATGTTGAGCATCTTTTCATGTGCTTACTGGTCATTTACGTATCTTTGGAGAATCTATTCAAGTCCTTTGCCCATTTTTAAATTGGGTTATTTTTGTTGTTATCGAGTTGTAGGATTCTTTATATATTCTAGACGTTAATCTTTTATCAGATAAATTATTTGCAGATATTTTCTCTTATTCTATGAGTTGGCTTTTCACTCTATTGATCGAGTCTTTCAGTGTGTAAATTTTAAATTTTGATGTATACCTATTTTTTTGTGTGTTTCTTCTGCACCCTTAGTGTCATATCCAGTAGATCATTGTCAAATCTGATGTTATGAAGCTTTTCCCTGTTTTCTCCTAAGAGTTTTATAGTCTTAGCTCCTACGTTTAGGTCTTTGATGCATTTTGAGTTAATTTCTGTATGATGTAAAGAGTCCCAAATCCATTCTTTTGCATGTGGATACCCAGTTTTCCTGGTTCCATTTGTTGAAACCATTGCTTTTTTATATTTAGTAAAAACTACGTCTTCCTTGTTGTCTTGATATTACCTATCAATGTAATATCTTCTGATAACAATCAGTATCTTCTAGTCTTCTATTAGAAGGTCTAATAGAACATAATAAATATGTATATATAGACATATTATTAAGTTAATTGAGGCATCAGTAAATTTTGCTGGAGCGGTAGATTATTCTGTGGAAACAAAACATGTATGTGACTTTCTCTAGACGTTACATTTGTAAAATTGGTTTGATAAGTGTGCACTTTCTTGAAAAATTTCTGTCAAATTAATACTAGATGGATATTTTTGTTTTGTTCCCAGGCATGGAAGAGGAGATGGTTTGTGTTACGCAGTGGTCGCTTAACTGGAGATCCAGATGTCTTGGAATATTACAAAAATGATCATGCCAAGAAGCCTATCCGTATTATTGATTTAAACTTATGTCAGCAAGTTGATGCTGGATTGACGTTTAACAAAAAAGAGTTTGAAAACAGCTACATTTTTGATATCAACACCATTGACCGAATATTCTACTTGGTAGCAGACAGTGAGGAAGAGATGAATAAGTGGGTTCGTTGTATTTGTGACATCTGTGGGTTTAATCCTACAGAAGAAGGTAAGCTCAAGATTTTATTATTCCACCTGAGTTCTCCTTTATTACTGCATTTTTAGAACTGTTATAAAATTCTTTATTATTTCAATTACACAATATAATATTGTTTACCTTTTTATAATAGCTAACAAACAACATTTGGAAAAAAAGCACTAAAGTCTTTAATCATTTTGGGGAGAAATTTTTTCTAGGTTTTAGGGGAGACTTAGCCATTGTGGGACCGTGTCTAAATAAATGTCTTGAAAAAAGGTGACAAGAAGACATACTTATTTAAGAGCATTTCTTGCGTCTGTATATATCAAATTGAACCTTATAGCACTGCTGATATTTGACTTTTTCACCTATTAAAAGCATCATTTTCATGTGACTCAGTTCTTTAGATGTTATCTTAAAAACTGTATTGGATTATGAAGTTAGGAAATAGCCAAGACGATTATCAATACCTATGAAAAGCAAATGACAATCAGTCACAAAACATGATGAACAAGTAACAAATGAGTTTGCTTAACACAGAGGTCCTAAAAAGAGCAAGGAGGGAGAGGAAGCTCAAGGTTTGGGTAAGCGTAGTGAAAAAAAGCTTCTCAGATAAACTCTAGGCTTTTGAAGGAAGTAGTATTTCTACATAAGTGAAAAAAAGGGATACAAAACCCTCTAGACTTAGGGGCAAGGGAGAGAAATGACCTGGAGGTGGAACAGCATTCCACGTGACTGGAGCAGGGGGCTGTGAATGATAAAGGCAGGGGGAGAGTTGCTTGAGGAGCTGAGATTTGGAGTGCCTGTCCTGGGAAGAGCTGAGTGGGTAGAGGTCTCATGAAGAATTTTACAGGTGGAATTCCTCTTCAGGTGCTTTTATATAGCTTTCCTGACCACTTAGTCCCTGTCCACTTCTCTACTTCTCTTCCATTTATAACAAACACCTATCTAGGGGACTCCAACACACATTTAGGTTCGTAAAGCCGAAAATCAGAAATAAAGGCGGTCTGAGGTCTTTGTACCTTACCGTCTTCATGGTTATACTCACGTTTACAGTGTGCATTTCCAAATATCTATATTTAGGAGTGCCGGAGGTTCGGTGAGGGCTGGAAAAATTGCATCAACAGTCAACATCAAGTTTTGGATTGAAGTGAAAGAGCAATCATCTCTAATTAGCTCAGGTCAGCCTGCTGCTTCCTTTCTGGCCAGTCAGCGGCCCACAAGAAGAAGCCTTCCAGGACTGGGATTGGCCCAGCGGGGCGGGGAAACCCCTTGGCGAGGGAATCCACAATCCTGAGGGGGCAGCACTGAGACCGGAAAGGAGGCATCCAGTTTAGACAGGAGGTGGCTAATCAGCTAGAGCTTTTCAACAGAACTCTAGTGATTAAAAGCCTCAAGAAATTGTTTCACATGTGGAATTAAGGCTTTGGTGGTTTTTGTCAAGTACTAAATATGTTCACATTTTAAGTGGGTGTGGGGGTATTACTTCTAACTCCAGTTAAACTCCTTTCTTTTCTTCTTGCATATATAGTCTGTATTTGAGTACAGTGGAGGATTTTAAAGTTAAAGTCACAAATGAGATAGGTCTCTAGTGGTTACTTAACGACCACTCACTAATGATAATTTTTGGATTAAAATACTACATTAGGCTCACGATGTAATGGATTTTCAGTTAAAATAATTTAAGTCATTGTATACTCTTTGGGTTGATGATGTTCTTTTGCCTGCTACCGTTTCAGTTTAGAATTTGTTTTTAGTGACATAAAAAGTAGACTTCTGTCCTCATCGGTTGCCTGTATCGATTCTGTTGATCTGAAAGACTGAGTAGTAGATGTTCTTCCATCTCTCTTTGTTTTCTATATAATTCTCCTAAATATAATTAACAAAGGAAATGAGATACCCTCCTAGAGGAGATACATTCTTCAGTCAAGGAATGGTATAATTTTTGGAAGCCCATTCAGGGGTGGGTAGAGTTGAGACCCCCCCCCAATAAGAATTTCGAATGCACAAGTATCTGAGATTAACTTTGCAAGTTTCAAGGCATAAAGTCTGGTCCATTTGTCCACCTTAAGATGACTCTCATCATCTGAGAGTTTGATGAACACCCAGTCATCTCTGGAAAGAAGGAAAGTTTTGTTTGCTTTAGAAAATTGATTCATTAATTTACCAAATTATTGAATTTGCCAACACTCAACTAAGCTTTGGACATTCGTTTAACCTACATATTATTAGGTGACAGGGAGACCGATGGCAAACATGATAGACATGGAACTGAGTGAGCATCTAGTGGGGAAGGAGTCATACCCATAATAATTCATTACAGTTGGTGAGTGCAAGATACATAATATACGTGTGTGTATGTGTGTGTATATACATATACACACACCCATATATGTATGTATATATATATACATATATATGTGTATATATATGGTGTATAATCATACTTTACAATGCATTAAAGTATGATTATGTGCATATATTAAAGTATGATACTGTAAGACTGTGTTAATCCAGTTCTTGCCCTCATAGAGCTTATAGTCAGTCTAATAGACACAGGCAAATACTCTAGGAATAAGTGTCCTGGTAAAGAAGAAATAACACAGATAGCAGCTAATTTAAGAAGGTGAGGAAAAGTCTAGGTAGTTTTAAATGGTTCTGTGACTGCAGCTGATAATGTACTAAGAAGTTTATTTTGTACTTAGTGGAACATTTTCATTGATATTGGTGGTCAGAATCAGTCACAATGTCTATTTTTCACTTTATAAACTTAGTAATATAGGGAGGAGGACAAACTCCCAAATCCTTTTAAAACAGATAAAGTATATTTGCCTTGAATGAAACTCTCAACTTGTGAATGTTCTATCTTCACAATATCAATAAAGGGAGAGGTTGTAAGAAAACTAATAGTATTATTAGTCAAATTTGATATATGTAATGAGTTGGTTACCAACAACAGCTGTGCTAATCATAACTCATTTTTTACCGCTTCATTAAAACAAGCCACTAAGGACTTCAGTTGGCCAGTGCTTTCTAAATGTAGTTACGAGCTGTATCTAAACACAACTGCATTTGTTTTTTAAATTCTACAGTATAGATTTTTTACAAGTTCATCCTGGCCTTCTCCCCAATAGCTACAATCAGAAATGTCTTACTCTGATGTTGAAGACTTGAGCTTCTCATAAATCATAAAGTTGTAAATAAATCAGTAAGTCCTAAATCAGTGAAAGATGAACAGTCCTTCATTGTGTAGTATCAAGGGGCCACAAAAAATCAAAAATTTTGATTTTTCATGCATAGTAGCAAAACTGCAAAAAGGCTTTAAAGTTAACCACTGTATTTTCTCTGTTCATTTGTAGTAGCTGACTTTGCTAGATGCCTTTTAAAAAAAAATCCACACATTTAAAGATTTGTACCAAATTCTGAACTGCAGAGAACTGCTATTATCCTTTGTGATCATGTTTGTACAGTTTAATATGACAAGATAAATATCAAAATGTCTGAGTTCTTCCATTTACTTTACCACCTGCTTTATATTCTCTTGCTTCCAAATAGATCTTCCCACCAATCACTAAATAATAGATGTTTTGTTTTTACCTAGATCTGTCCCCGGAGCCCTGTGCTGTTCCCATTTCAGAGTTGAGTATGCTCTCACTCTTGGCTTAAAACTAATGACATGAAACCATTTTTCACTCTACTCGTGTCAGGCTAGATGTGGGAAGAAATATCCTATGCTTGGATATTACAGTCTGAGAAAATAACTATCCACAGTCCCTAGGAGAATAACTAGTTTTTGCTGAAAACAAAAGGAAAGGGGAAAAATCTGACCTGTGTTTTGATTCCAGGAACCTCCCAAAATATCGTTACCATGTTATTTCCGCTGCCCCAGGTGACCACTGCTATTATTGAATACTCAGAATGCTGGCAAGCTGAATCTGTTTTTAAATTCTAGCTCATTGAACTATGTGCGGTTCCTATGAATGCTTTTATTTAGCAGATTTGAGGGTAGAAACTAATTTCTTTTGTTTTTCTTGGAAATGTGCAGATTTATTTTTGTTTCTACACCGAGGTGGAAGCTGTTAAATCTGCTAAACAAGTGCCAGGAAACACAGCCTAAAGGCTCTAAACAGCTAACTAACTTGGCGCAAAGGCTCCTGGTCTAATTTCAGGGTGCAAGATTAGAAAGTTGCCTTTATCAGTCGGTTGAGTTGCTTTTCTCAGAATGCCCAGGTAATAGTAGCTTAAAAAAAACAGTGCTTCTCTATTTGATATCCTTCCCTTCAGAAAAGTAGGTAAGCTAATGTAAGAATGTGCATATCTTCCCTTTCCTGTAAAGCGGTGCTTCTTAACTAGAGAACTTTTAAATTTCTTTTTATTTACTTTTTTATTCAGGTATAACTTACTACTATGGAAGGTTCAGATCTTAAGTATACAGTTCAGTATAGTTTTATATATCCATCTCTATCTACATATGGAAACAGAAGTCTGTGTACCTGCTGCTCAGATCAAGAAGTGGAACATTTCCAGCCCCCTAGAAGGCTTTTTCATTCTTTTTCCCAGTAAAAACCCAGAAAAAAAGCCCAAACGTAACTATGATTTTGCTTCTATAACCAGAGATTAGTTTTGCCTATACATGAACTTCATATAAATAAAACCACTGAATCTGGCTTCTTTTTTCCAATAGAAGTCTGTGAGATTCATCCATGTAGCATGTAGTGGGAGTTCTTCCTCTTCTGTAGCATTCCGTTGTGTGAATAGATCCCAAATTACGGATCTCTTTGAATGTTGATGGGCATTCGGGTTGTTTCTAGTTTTTAATGCAAATAAAGCTACTGTGAGCTGTGCTATATATGTATCTTTTGATGGACATGAACACTTAGTTCTTGTGGGTGTGTACCCATGGGTGGAATCCCTACATCATAGGTTATGTACCATTTGTTTTCCTACCAGCCATGTAGGAGACTTCCAGGTACACTACATTCTCACTTCATTTGGTATTGTCAGTCATTAATTTTAGCCATTCTAGTGAATGTGTAGTGGTGTCTCATTGTGTTTTTAATTTGCATTTTCCTGAGGACCAGTTCAACCAGAGCATTTATACGGTTTTTGTTTTGTTTTCTTACACATTTTCAAGGTATTGAGATATTGATTCATCGAGTCTCCTGAGATGGGGCTCAGGCACCTAGAACTCTGAAAAAGTGATTCTGATGCCATGACACTTCTGGATAAGAATTAAGGCATTTTCAGCATTTCCTAAGGGTTTATTTTTAAAGTCTCCCAAGAATATTTGTACGACCTGTTAAGGAGATAATCATGACAAATAAGATAAAAAAAATTTCTGTTTGAAACACATTAAATAGATTGGGCTATGATTAAAGATCTTCAATTTCTGATTAAATAAATTGAAGAAATTGCAGGTTGCTTCACTGAAAATTGCAACTACTGCTCTTTCTTGTTTGTTAGATTTACCTTAACAAAATGTTCTTCTATGAAAAGTGGTGTGTTCAGAAATGAGAAGATGGTTACTTGAGCCTCAATGATAATGATACTCTTTGTGGGTAGAGTCTTATTTGCTGAGTTAATTAGACATACATCCAATCAAAATGCTTCTCCTGACAAAAAAGAAATTCTACAACAGACCAGGTAAATTAGTAATCAATAGAAACAGAATAACCCTGACCTATTTACCTTTAATTATGAACGTAAAGGTAAAATTTTTGTAGTAGAAACCCAAAAATATCCTATCAGCAAATGTAGCCCATCTGGAGAGACAAGGATCTCATCTGGTCTCCTGACAAGGATATGAGCAACACCTCAGTTTTATTACCATATGGTAGATAGAGTATGGCAGTAGTTATAAAATCAGAGAACCTGTCACATTAACTTTGAAATACTCTCCTTACCAAGGAGAAAGAGTAGAATTGCTTCCCTGGGCTTAAGCTCTTATACCTTTTGGTATGTGTGTGTTTATATACGTATGTGTGTGTGTGTGTGGAGATGTATTATTTTGAATGTTTAGAGGCATTATCTGGGCCCCCAACTCGTGTGTGGGACACTAACACCAGGGCATTATGGTTCCAAACAGGATAAAACTGTGCATTAAGCTAGGGATCTTGTGGACCACAAGATCTTCACTGAAAGCTGGTTAAGGCTTACTTTACCAGTACTTATTAGCTTTCTTAGTAAAATTCACTTAAGAATTTGCTTTAGCAACTCATTAAGCCTTTAATGGATGCTAATTATACTCTTTATGCCTTTTGAATTAAGAGACAGGGAATAATTTTACACACATAAGCAAACCCTAAACTGATATTTGGTTCTCAGAAAGTTGATACCAGCATTACTTAGAGCAGCAGTAAGTTAGAAACCTAGGTGAGGCAGAAAGCAAAAAACGTGGCTGCTCAACTACTCCTTGGGTAGAATGAGGCAAATCACATGCCTTTATAAAGTGAAATAGAAGTTTCTTTTTTCACACCAGTTGGTTAACTTTGACCAGAAATTTTATATTAAGGCATATTTAGACATACTGCAATGCTTGCATTAAAATATGCAGAGCTGAGAAATAGGAGTATGAGTAAAATAATCCCAAAGACTAAAACTTTGAAGGAAGGACATTATCTGAGCCAAAGTGGTAGAGCAGTGTTCCCTCCCCTCTTTTTTATTTATTTTTAAAGATTTTATTTATTTACTTATTTCACAGAGAGAGACACAGCGAGAGAGGGAACACAAGCAGGGGGAGTGGGAGAGAGAGAAGCAGGCTTCCCGCCGAGCAGGGAGCCCAAAGCGGGGCTCCATCCCAGGATCTTGGGACCATGACCTGAGCCACCCAGGCGCCCCATCCCTTCCATCCTTTTTTTTTTTTTTTTAAGATTTTATTTATTTATTTGACAGATTGATAGCGAGAGCAGGAACACAAGCAGGGGGAGTGGGAGAGGGAGAAGCGGGCTTCCTGCCGAGCAGGGAGCCCGATGTGGGACTCGATCCCAGGACCCTGGGGTCATGACCTGAGCCGAAGGCAGACGCTTAACGACTGAGCCACCCAGGCGCCCCATCCCTTCCCTCTTAAAGTCCTTTGTATGCCATGTTGTTTGGAATGATTGGGCTTGCTTTTCATGGCTGTGTGAAGGTCTTTGGTGAGCTTGCTTGTGAACATAATGGAAATTCTCTCTAGTTCTTGCCTCTTAGAAGTAGATGTAAGCCTTCCCATATTGTGATCGAGATATTATATATTTTTGGATGGAGCTCTTAAGAGTGTATTATACTAAGTGAAATAAGTCAGGCAGAGAAAGACAAATACCATATGATCTCACTCAAAACAGATGATCATATGGAAAGGGAGAGAGGGAAACAAACCATAAGAGACTCTTAAAGATAGAAAACAAACTGAGGGGTGATGGGCGGAGGTTGGTTGGGGGTGGGCTAGATGGGTGGTAGATGTTAAAGAGGGCACTTATTGTTGTATGTATATGATGAATCACTGAATTCTACTCCAGAAACCAATATTGCACTGTATGTTAACTAAAATTAAAAAATATATATGAAGCTCCGCACCACTGCCTTCACTGTGTAAGGACATGCAATAGCACGAAAGTAGAAATGGCATTAATGTCTATGAGTCACAAAATAGAATAATAAATTGTAAAATATATTCATTGATAAAGCACTCTCTCAATGTTAAATGCAATTAAATTCATCTGTATTCCTAGGGAATGAGCTCCAGATACCAGAAATAGTGAAGAACAAAAGGATTTTAAAAATAATGCATATTGTATGACATATCTATTTTAATTTCAAGAAAACACTAACAAAGACCAAAAAAAAAAAAAAAGGAACCTTTGAATCCCTGTCTTTTTTTTCTTTTTTCCAGAAATTGAGAGGATCTTTCATCTATAAAGAGGGTAAAAAAAAAACTTTAGTGATTCACAGGTGGGAGAAATGGAAGTTTAAAAATGAGATGGTCCCATTGTGTTAATAAAACAAGTCAGACAAATGTGATCACCTGGCTGGGTGATTCTTTTCCTACCTAAGATGACTCACTCAGTTAATTTAGTGTATAGCTATCAAATTTAAAATAAAAAAAAAACATTTAAAGGAAAAGTGCATCTATAAAAACAGCCACCTGGAAAACTTACTTTAGGAGTTACACTGGAAAATTAGAATTCTCATACTGTTTTATGTAGTGATGTATTTCCAGTGTTGAGTTTCATTTTATTTTGGCCAAAACTAAAAATTGAATGGGATCGTACAATTTTACCACACCTTTACAGTACAAAAAGGAGAAATATGTAAAATATATTTGTGAATACAGCCTGTAGGATACAATAAGTGCTTTCTGACCACTCTGCTCTTTTTTTTTCTCCTCAATGTTGTGTATGTTTTTCCGAAAGCTTTTCTTTAAAAGTTAAATATTTTTCATAGTTCTATTAAGTTTAACAAGCCACAAGGATTTACTGAGTCACTGGTTAATCTAGGGCCTTTATATCCCCTTAAATAAATCTTTTAGATTTGTAATTAGTTCAAAACAGTAAAACATTATTTCATAGAGTATGTTATATATACTATTTATAATCATCTGTTAGACATAATGAGATATTTATGAGTTCCCACTGAAATTATGGCATTATGTCGTATAAATGTCCCCCCCAAAAATATTTTTCTTTTCTCACCATTTTCTTTTCTCACCTTTCATAAATGAGAAAGAATTAACTAATAAACTCCTGGCATTAAGTGTTAGATTTTATTAGATGAGCTTGTGTGAAGACTTGACATTGCATGCAGCATAACTGATAAAAATGTTAGAAATTAGCTCAACTTCTATTTACTCAGGCCAAACTTTCCAACTGAAAGAAGTCTTTAAACATAATTAGCACCTAGTAGTACTCACATATTTCTTAAGGAGCAAATTCCAAACTGCACATTCAGTTGAATGGGTCTTGAAGATTTGGGAGTGCCCCTGGCCTCTTCCAACAGGACATAGAGAAAGTGCTCAGTGAGTTTGCGCTGGGTGAATGAAACCCTTTTGAGCATCTACAACATGTAGGGCAAACTATCGCATAGGAGTTCTGATCCTTTTTGTTTGTTTTGGGGAACCACAAATAAAGATAAACTTATATTTAGCCATACTAATACGTTATTATTCAAGCTTAACAATTATGATATGAGCTTCTTTGCCTAGGAAGAAGAGTCATAAAATACAAACTACATAAATTTAGCTGGGGTGCATATACAAATATTAAAGTTGAATAAATGAAGACATTATCAAAAGCATATGGACTTACTCTGTAGTACCTAGAGAAGCTAGAGCTGACTTGTAGCTCCTCCCTGGTAATCTAACAGGCCAGATGACCTGCATTTGATTTTATTTGATAGAACATATTAAGTCCTTTAGCGCTTTTTATTGTCTTTTAGGGAATGTTTTGTTATAAAAATCTCAGTTTCAACCCAGGCTTTTCTGTTCTAACATAGACAGTAAACAAATTTGTTTATTCATATATGAGCATTTATCTTTTTCTGGATGTATAGCCTTGTATTCCTAACCAGACCAACAGAGAATTTTTCTTCCAGGCTCTTCAAAATTTACTTGGTTGTGTCAGTGATTACAGTGGGATTTTATCTCTCGGTTTTCAACTTGTTTTCAAATTACTTCGCTCTAAACAATTTAGGTAGTTTCATATGTCTTTTCAGAACATTAAGTGCTTAATAAATTATTCCTTTACTTGCTGTCCCCTTTTGCATGAAAATATTACGGAAATCCAGTAAATGGCACTTGAGGCTATGAGCTGAGGGAAGAGGAGATGTCTTAAAAAAAAAGCTCTTTCCCTGAACATGAATCCCACAATTAGAACTATTTCTCCTTAGTCTGCTGAGGAAGTAGAAAGAAAAGAATGAACAGCAAAATAAAGATGAGACAAAGAGGTGATGCTTGCGCCTGTAGACGCCACATAACAAGATGGGCCTCCTTGGAAAGTTGGCTTGGCTTGGGAAACACTTTGGTTTTTGTTTTGTTTTAAAAATTTATTTATTTGTTAGAGAGAGAGTGCCCATGAGAGCAATGGGAAGGGGCAGAGGGAGAGACAGAATCCTCAAGCAGACTCCCTGCTGAGCGCAGAGCCCAACACAGGGCTCAATTCCAGGACGCTGAGATCATGACCTGAGCTGAAACCAAGAGACGCTTAACTGACTGAGCCACCCAGGTGCCCCGACTATATTTTTTATCGTGGAAAAAAATCTATCTCTTGTGCTAAGTAAGATTGTAGAACATCGTCATTGCCAGTAGCCTCAAAACTAAAGACTGTTTAAGACAAAGTTAACCATGGCTTTATGGTTAGAAAGCCTCTGGAAGAAAGAGCCCTACTCTTCACATCTCTTTGACAAGAGCCAATTATTTCCTGTATAAATCTTGCTATTTAGGTAGTATTTGTTTTAATTGACATTGTCATGGCTTATCATGCTTTTGTGTGTTAAAACAGTTGATCTCCAAACTTTGAAGTAGCTTTATTTAAGAAAAAATTCTTAGAATGGGACAGACGATGATAGTTACATTTTGGTGTTGCAGATCCTGTGAAGCCATCTGGCAGCTCCATACAGGCGCCGGTTGATTTACCTTTAGCTGTAAATACAGCACCACCATCCACCCAGGTGGATTCATCCTCCGCTGTTGCACCTCCTCCATATCAGCTAATTAACCTACCACCACACCTAGAAACCCTTGGCATCCAGGAGGATCCTCAAGACTACCTCTTGCTAATCAACTGTCAAAGCAAGAAGCCTGAACCCACCAGGTAAACCACAAATTTGTGTGGGGGGTGGGTGTGTGTGTGTGTGGGTGTGTGTGTACATTTAGAAATCTTACCTTTAAACTCTTTCAATTCTGATTCGAAGGTTTAAAAGAAACCCAACTATATAGATTTATATTTTAGGCTTATTATATTTCAGGGTATATTCCTCTAACATTTCTGATATTCAGGAAATTTATGGGAGAAACATGTTCTCTACTATCTAGGCAGAGAACACTTGTACCTACAAGGCTCTTTTGGAAATCTGTCTCCTGTTTCATAGTCTTTGTTACAGACTCACAGTATTACTTGCTTAACAGATTTCACTGATTTATAAATGGTGATCTTGCTCCATTTCTTATGTGATTGTAAACCAGCCAAGGGTCATCTTTTGTTTCTGAAGAAGGAGAGGAATACCTACTACTAGAAGATTTTGAAAGCAAAACGATTCCATTGCAGTGAGTGTGTTGTGGTTGCTTTGGATCTGTGTGAGAAATTAATTATTCAGGTAAAATCCCAATATAGCAAATATTATGGGATATACAAATTGGGTTTTAGTGAAATTTGATGAAATCAAATATATTGCTAAAAACTAAAACTTTCCAATCGTCGTACCCAGCAGTGAAGCAGAGCTTACTCTGACTTTATACATTTTTAAGTAGAAAGAAGCATGTGGATTTCAGTGCTTGCCCAAAGGTATCATAAAGCCTTTCCCAAATGCTTGGTTTCCCCACCATCTCCATTCCTGCTCCTTCTTTCCTTCTAAGTTATATGATATTTTAATTTGATCATTCTTGTCAATTTGCTGTTAATTGGAAGGCCTGAGGTAACAGTGAGAATTGCAGCCAGAAAATAAAGATCGGGGAGCCCGTTTCTACCATTAACAGCAGTGTGGCAACTAGTGATGTTGGGGATATTTACATCTTGATTTGCAATATATAAAAGTGGGAATGAATTGCATAGTAGATATGAAAGATATTTTTTAAACAGAATGATTGGATATTAAGCATTATTTTATTTTATAACAAAAAAGTTGTTGTTTTCATGGAGAAAGTGACTGTTACCGGGCTAAGATCATACAGAATGCTTGTTCAATTTTTATACTGTCAAGAACCACAGTTTAGTTGCTATGAATTATTCCCTGAGGTATTGGAATACAAACATTCCAAAGTTGGGTTTCCGCATATTTGTTGTAATGGGATTTTACCTGTAAGAGCAAAAAAAGAAATCTTTTTATAAATCAACACTAGTTTATATCAAATTCTAACTTGATTTTGCTTGTTTGCTGTGAGTATTTAAAATTACACATTCGCAACTTTGTTACCTGTGCTACTAACTAAGATTTTATTTTATGGAGGTTCAGAATTATTTTTCAATATCAACTTTTTTAAAGCCAGCAGCTAAGTGGCAGTTTTCAGTGCATTTTCTTTTTATATGGTATCTTTCATTGATCTCATTGGTATTACAGCTTTCCTGTTGTAGTGGAAATTATGCTCAGAGTCCTTGCTCAGACATATTTTGTATCTATATTTTGCAGAAGTGACAGTTAATTGACAAATATTTATGAAGTACCCACTGTGTGCCCACTCTTCTGCTAGGTGCTGTGAAGGTACAGACTAATTACATAAGATACAGCCGCCTCAGATACAGTCCCTTCAGAGTTTATAAGTGAAGCTTTTGAAGAAGTCAGAACATGCAAAAACGTTAAGTGTTTGTAGATGAAGTCAGGAGAATTGCCTTGCAAACTCTTATTCATCCTGCAGGACTCAGCTCAGGCATGTATTCGTCTAGAAAACATTCTCCCAAACTCCCAGCCTGGACTAAATGCCTGTCTGGGTTTTCTTAGCATCCTGGTTGGGCCTCCTAATCTGTGTTTTATCACAGAATTGGAAATAGCTTGATATTTTAATTTATTCTTCACTAAACTATAAGCCAGTCAAGGGCAGGGAGCTTATTACTCATTGTACTTCTAGCTTTTCTTAACTCACTTTTTTTAATTCAGTGAAGTGCAAATTTTAGAATATGTGTAGGTGCATTAGAAATTCTTAGAAGGGACAGTGCAAGTATTTTTAAGATGGAGGGTGAAATGCTTCAAAGGAGGAGTAGAATTTGAACTACACTGGTTGGTGAGAGAAAAAGACCCTGTCCTTTGCAATCTGCATAAAAATTTTTTTAAGGAAAGGCAAGGTAAGAGTGAGGGGTGGGAGGAAGCTAATGAGGAGGAGAGCTTGCCCGTAGTAGAGGTTCCACTGGGGGAGAGTAGAACATAAGATAGGGCATGCCAGATGGAGCCAGCGATGGTAGCCTCAGTACCAAGTGGAGTTGTCTGTGGACTTTTTGTAGTTCCCACAGCCTGTTGGGACCCTTAAAAGGATTTTCTCCAAGTAGATGAGGGATATGAAAACCATGTTCTGAAAATACTGACCTTACAGCAGTATAGCAGTATGGTCCCTTGGGTTCATTGGAAAAAGGAGAGACTGGAGGAAAGAAGTCCGCTAGGACTTCTTAGGAGGGTTTAGTAGTGTGAATCATAGCAGAGACCCAGATCTGAACATGAGGTGGTAACAGTGGGAATAGAGAAGGGGAATAGTCACTTGGTTAGAAGAAGAACTTGGTGCCTCGGTGCTGGAGATCAAAGAGAATGAATCAAAGCTGATAGCGTTTTGAGCCTCGAGATTCTGGATGAAGACATTTCTTTTAATGGCAAGTCAGAAAGGACAATTAGAAGTAAGTTGAGTTTGGTTTGGTACACACAAGCAAGGTAACACCAGGATAACCAAGTAGAAATATATTTGAATGGTTTGAAAATACGGGACTTAGAGTTCAGAGTTGTTAACATTCAGTGGAAGGTGAAGTTATAAGAAAGGAGGATTTTTAAATGGTGTGTGTGGTAAAGCATTAGAAGACTGACTTCTGTTGGCTGTTCCAAGGTAGAGACGCAGGAAGAAGGAACCAGTCAGTGAAAGAAGGGAATAATCAGTGAGGGAGAAGGGAAATGAGGATGTTGCAGTATGAGCTCTGTGATTCCAGTATGAGCTCTGTGATTCATTCAAACTCTATGGAGAGTTTGAATGAATAAATGGGATACATAGTGCCAGGCATTATTAAGAAATCAGGGAAGATCAGACCTTAAAAAGACTATCAAAAGTTATTTTTCTGGGGTGCCTGGGTTGCTCAGTTGGTTAAGCGACTGCCTTCGGCTCAGGTCATGATCCTGGAGTCCCAGGATCGAGTCCCGCATCGGGCTCCCTGCTCAGCAGGGAGTCTGCTTCTCCCTCTGACCCTCCCCCCTCTCATGTGCTCTCTCTCTCTCTCAAATAAATAAATAAAATCTTAAAAAAAAAAAGTTATTTTTCTGAAGATTAAGTTCAAGTTCCTACAGGACTTTGGACAACACTCGCAGTAGTTATCTTGTTAACCATTAAGGAAGTGCATGCAGGGTGCTAGTATTGTTAGCTTCATTTTGGCTTCTACCCAAATTTTGTGTTACCGCAAAGGGCAGAAACTAGAAATGTACCCAAAACATTAAGTATACTCTAATGAGAGTTCTGAAGGTTAATTAATTTTTGGAATTGGCCAACTCTGTGGGTTGTATTTTGATCATCTTTACAGTATTGGCTAAGTGTTTGTTAAAGAAAATTAGTAGAAAGAAAGATACACAAAACCTTTCAAGTTGCCACCTCCTTGTAGGTCACATTGAATTTATGCAATACCAGGTAATCATTAGACTGTTAGTCTTACAGAACAACAGTTGCCAGAGGTAGGATAAATAAAGAGCAGTGGACCAAGTTGATAAGTGTTGGCACGAGGTTTCTGCATGCTCTTCAGAGGAAATGCTTTTCCTTGTGTCTATGCCTTAATCATTTACCTTTCTCAGAATTTTGTATCTTTCTAATTCCAGTGCCTCAGGGATCATGGTTTTATGTGTGGATTTAAGAGGTGGAGTTGGGGGTGTGGGCCGATACAGGACAGGCATTAGGGAGAACGCTTTTGGTGGTTTTGTGGTGGTGGCTTTGTTGTCTGGTGTATAATCATAAAGACTAAGAAACATTCATGCTTTAAATCTTACGGATCGCACAAAAAATCAAATGAAAAAAAGCCATGTATTTTGATTGCTAAGCTATAAATATATTTATTAAAATGTAGTCTTATGTCTTCACCATGTTTTATTTTCTGTCATTAACAATTTTTATTTAGAACACACGCTGATTCTGCAAAATCCACCTCTTCTGAAACAGACTGCAATGATAACGTCCCTTCTCATAAAAATCCTGCTTCCTCCCAGAACAAACACGGAGTGAATGGCTTTTTTCAGCAGCAAATGATGTATGACTCTCCACCGTCTCGTGCTGCATCTGGTTCTGTAGACTCCAGCCTTTATAACCTGCCCAGGAGTTACTCTCACGATGTTTTACCAAAGGTGTCTCCATCGAGTACTGAGGCAGATGGAGATCTCTATGTTTTTAATACCCCATCTGGGACATCAAGTGTAGAGACTCAAATGAGGCATGTATCTATTAGTTATGACATTCCTCCAACACCTGGTAATACTTATCAGATTCCACGAACATTTCCAGAAGGAACTTTGGGACAGACGTCAAAGCTAGACACTATTCCAGATATTCCTCCACCTCGGCCACCGAAACCACATCCAGCTCATGACCGATCTCCTGTGGAAACGTGCAGTATCACACGCACGGCCTCAGATACTGACAATAGTTACTGTGTCCCTACAGCAGGGATGCCACCATCACGTAGTAATACCATTTCCACTGTGGATTTGAACAAATTGCGAAAAGGTCAGCTCTAACTGGCTTCTACTGTGTTAGAGGTTAATGATAGAAAATATGTTCATCTGAATATTTGTTCTTTGCAGCATCGTGTGATGTTAAATGATAGTCCTTTTTTTCTTCAGCTCTGCAGTTGCCCACTCATGTAGCGAAGCTATCAGGGTCTCAGTAGACCGTTGGAAGGGTGTTTGTGCATGCGGCGTGTACCTGAGTGCATGTTCTGCTGGCAGGGAGAGAGACTTGGAGTTTTTCACCCCTGGAGAAGTATGGCCTTAGTAATACGTTCCTGCCTCAGGAAGTGTGCACCCCTCTTTCCTGCTTTCCATGTATCCTGGGTGGGTGGACTCTCTACTGGGGCAGAGGAGCAGGAAATGGACCAGCCACAAAGCCTCTCCGAGTCATCCCTTTCCTGTATTTGTGTGCCGTTATGGCTGCTTCTGTGTCCCATCTGCTGGGCTCCGTTTCCTTCCTTCCTCGATAAGCAGTTTATACGTTGTGTCTAACTAGTAAACTCTGTTCCAGTCGTGCCATTCCACTTTTGTTTGGTTTTATTTATCTCTAAAGCTCGGAATCTTCTCTCCCCTTACCCTGGCCACTTCACTTAGTCCTACACCATGTCCCAGAGCCTACCAAAAGTTACGGACCTTGAGAGGAGAAAGATTCAGTCTGGGTTACACTCTGAGGTTCTTAAAGTCCTAGAAATAGAAGGCTGGAGTTTAAGGTGTCCATACCCTAAAAAACGTGTGCTAACGTTTCTGTATGTTGTGGTAGAGTTACCCACCTGTCCTAAAGAAAATAAAGATTTAATGCATCACGAAGAGTAATAATAGGGAGACTTGACTTTAGCTATTCACTACCAGTTTCTGATTCTCTTTATGAAGTGGCTCTGTAATCTGATTAAAGGTTACTGAGATATAAGTTAGGACCAAGGTGGTACAGAAGCTGAGAAAAGAAAAGTATTTCTTTTCTCCATCTTTAAATAACCCATCTCATCCTGGGCTTAGACATTCATTCATTGTCGTAATCAAATGCTGGTAGTGGTCAGCATATTAGTGAGTGTCTGCATTTTCTAGTGATTTAATGTGCCCATTCGGGATATTATTCTGTGAGCATCTTTTTAAAAAACCTGTGTGTGTGCACGCATACCTGCACACAGGTGTGTAAAGAGAGAGAACAGACCATTCTGAGAACTGGCAAAGGTGGGAAGAAATGCTGATCGTTTGTTTTCTGTTTTAGATGCTAGTTCTCAAGACTGCTATGATATTCCACGAACATTTCCAAGTGACAGATCTAGTTCACTTGAAGGCTTCCATAACCACTTTGTAAGTATAATTGACCTTGGCGTCATCAAGTGTGTTTCACTCAGGATCTTCACACGCAGTGCCCTGAGACTAAATGAGATCACGAAATACAAGTCCCCTCAGCTCCGTATGAATAGGTGTGACTTACAGTTGTGTTTCCCTGTTTGCTAATAGTTTCTGTTTATTAAAAGAAATGTATGTGTGTTTTAGAAAATCAAAAATATATTGACAGTGGGAAGCGTATCAAGTGAAGAACTGGATGAAAATTACGTCCCAATGAATCCCAATTCTCCTCCACGACAACATTCCAGCAGTTTTACGGAACCAGTTCAGGAAGCAAATTATGTGCCAATGACTCCGGGAACATTTGATTTTTCTTCATTTGGAATGCAAGTTCCTCCTCCTGCTCATATGGGCTTCCGGTCCAGCCCAAAGACCCCTCCCCGAAGGCCAGTTCCTGTTGCAGACTGTGAACCACCCCCCGTGGATAGGAACCTCAAGCCTGACAGAAAAGGTAAGGAGAGCATGGCATAGTGAAAGGGTTGGGGCAGGGGGGGTACCAGTTTAGATCTGCCAGCTTAGAGCTGCACTTAACTGTCATGAAATCCCAAATGCTATTGGGACTAGAAATTCTGAAGTATTTCATATTACCTTAGTTATCAACTTGTTTTAAGTGCGATACTGCTATTTGTAGATTAATAATTGTTTTATGTTGATGCCCGGGTGAGGTTTCTGTCTCCTGTCTCTAGAGCAGAGGTTACAAACTAAAAATTACTCACAAGGTTTGGCAAGCAACAGGAGAAAATGAGAAACTGGAATGCACTTGCCCATTCTAAATGGAGTAACTAACTGCTCGTTGGCTATAATCCTTTGTTCACTTGTGTGAAAATAACGTGGGCCCATATGGGCAAATCATCTGATGTGTCAAGAGAAGCCAGAAATTTCATCTCTTACATGTATTATCTTTTGATTTTTGAATTTGATCAGCTAGTGTAATTTAAAAACAAAAACCAAAAAACACTGCAGACAGACCACACCCTTCTACAGGCTAGCTGTGGTCTTTGGCTGCTGGTTTGTAACCTCTTCTCCAGAGTATATAATATAATATCAACTCAGACTAGAGGTTATTACGTGCATTTGACGTAATTCTTTAAGAACAGTGAGGCTGTTTGTAAAGTCTTTCCAGTCTGTCCGTATAACAGCTTCTATAAAAATGATTCTGCCTTTGCTGGGGTATAAATGCTTCTAGTCTGTTCTTTCATACTGGCCTTCGTAAGTAACACTGAATTCTAGGGTAGCATGGTTTGATAAGAATTCAGTATAAACGAAACTCCAAACTGATAATACATATCCAGGTTTTTAAATTTGGGGTTTGAGTGGTTAAAACCCAGACATCTAGCTGTGTTACAGCATGCTGTTAGTGTGATTTAATCTTGACAACCACATAAGTTAGTATATTGGCTGTGTGATGAGTTGGCACCATTTCTGGGGAATTCACATTTGAAGTCTCCTGTGCTGTACACAGCTTTTTAAGGGCATGTAATATCTGTGTAAATTTCTCATTAACCTGGGTTTTTAGATCATTACTATTTTTCTGATTAAGTTCCAGTTGTGGGGAACAGAGTCTGAGACTCACTCAGAGTATCTGAAGAAAATGAGTTTTGTTTTGTTTTGCTTTTAAGTAAGTAAGTAAGGCCGGTCCTGTGCTGAAATGAGAAAAGTTACTGGGAACAGAAGCACTCTCAGGGGACCGTCACTTTGTCCTGCTGTCTGCATTTCTGTCCTGTGGGAAGTCTTTGTATCTGCTTTGTTCTGTCTCACATTCTTTCCTTCTTTTCTTGTTTTCCTGCCCTGGATCCTCTACGTGGTTTCTGCCTTCCAGGAGCTGTGGCCTACAACGCCCCTTTGTGGCCTCACTTCTGCCTCCTGGCTCCTTTTTACATGCGCGCAGCTTCTGCATCTGCTGCCTCCATCATTGTTCACTCACTGTAGAGTGCTCACAGAGAATTTGATTTCTCTTATTTGTCTTTTCACACCAGGCCATAGGATGGATTGTAGGCCAGCCCGTAGATTGGCTGCCACTGGTCAGCTGCCCACCTTTGGTCTGACAGCTGGAAGGATGGTCATGAGTAACACCCACGGCCACCCACACAGCCCCAGCAGCAGGGCTATAATCAGGGGTGGTTATCTTAGAAAGGGTGTGAGCATCACAGGCTTTTTATTTGACAACTTTTCCTTTTGCTTCTCTTTGTCCTCATTTGTCTTTAAATCTATTTAGGCATTATTAGTCATTTTCTTTGCATACAAAATGCAAAAGTATGTTTGAACATGCATAGATTTATAATTGAGTTCACAGGTTGCTGAAGAATTAAGGTCCAAGTGTCATGAACTCTTCGAAATACTGAAATACTCATTTTTAATGCTAAACTGGTTCTTATTACTTTGTGTGAGCAGCAAATCTCTACTTTTTTTTTTTTTTTAAGATTTATTTATTTATTTTGGAGAGGGAACGAGCATGTGAGCACGAATAGGGGGAGGGGCAGAGGAAGAGAATCTTCAAGCAGATTCCCCCGCTGAGCGCAGAGCCCCATGCAGGGCTCGATCTCATGACCCGTTAGATCATGACGCTTAACCAGCTGAGCCACCCAGGTGCCCCATCAGATCTCTACTTTTTAACCCCAAATGTAAGTTTTTTATCTGGAAGTCCTACATAAACGTAGAGGTGGTATTGTTAGGGTAAGTGTACAAAGCACCTAGCCCTACCTACTATACTTCTCTGCCTGCCCCTTCCTTTCCTCAGGCTCTGCAGAACACAATTCGAAAATTCCTGGTATATTTCAGTTAGTGATTACACCTGGTAAGCATAATGAGGAATCAGAAAAGATCCCTATTTATATGTTAGAAAAGTTTTAAGATCATAATGATAGGCTTTTAGTATTCTCTAGGTCTGACAGAGCTCATGTACCTCATATTATGATATATATCATTTTATGTATATATCATAATAATATGGCATGTGTACTATATATCATTTATATTACATTTTATAATGTAATATAATTACTATATATAATTACTGTATATAATTACTATAAATTATATTTATGTATAATTATACCTCCCTATGTATATATAGTGAAAGTACTATATATTCTAGTATGGTAGCGGTTAGTTGCGCTAGTTCTCTAAACCAACCTAAAATGACTTTACAGTAGAACAGAACAAAGTAGGTTCTTGGTTACTTCTGGAGGTTGTGTTCAGGCTTTTAAAAAATTAAGTGAACTGTTGAGAGACAATCTTGAGCTATCCAGGTGGTTTATTTGGTATCTGTGCTTAGGTACAAAATGAACTGAGAAAGCACCCGGAATAAAATACATTGTTTTTGGCAAAATCAAGGAGACTAGGTTTAGCAAAACAGGGGAGGTTACTAAAATCATAGTAATAAAAAAAATGGTTTTGCTTTTCTTTTAGTACTGTTTTACTTTTTAAATAAATATACAAAAGAGAAAGCATGAGAGACTAACTTAGCAAACTTTATCAACTCACTTTAGGAAGTTATAACTATTCAAGAAAAACACATTGAAAACCCAAATTCAGACCTTGGAACAGTTTATATTTAAAAACTTAAATTGTAGGGGCACCTGGGTGGCTCAGTCGGTTAAGTATCCGACTCTTGATTTTGGCTCGGGTCATGATCTCAGGACCGTGGGATCGAGCCCCATGTCTGGTTCCACACTCAGCATGGAGTCTGCCTGGGATTCTCTCTCCCTCTCCCTCTGCCCCTCCACTACCACCAGCTCCGCCCCACATGCTCGCTCACTCTCTCTTGCTAAAATAAATAAATATATCTTTAAAATAAATAAAAATAAAAACTTAAACTGTAAAACAAATGTCTTATTTGGTCATGAAATTCTTCACATGCATAGCATCAGATGAGTCTGTTTTACTTTCAAATTTTGTGACATCAGATACATGACTCAATCTATTCCAGTATCTCTTATTAACTGTACCTCATAATTAGCAAACCTAATTCTATCAAATATGGCTTGATTAGTTTCAGGGCCCCATATAACTAGTTCAGTACCCAGTGTAACCAATTTCTGTGGTTGTCTTCTTTGGAAGAGTCTACAATAAATGAGTGACATTCTCATCTTGTTTATACCCCCATTTATAGATGTCAGCTGCTGTAATTAGTAGTACAGATAAGTTTTTCGAATACTTCTGAGTAACTGAAGCTTCAGAAATGCATAGATGTTCTAAACACTTACGTTTAATGTATTTTCATGGACCCTTTTGCCCATCACCCAACTTATGGTAGCTATATTTTCACCCCTACTATTTCTGTCACGGTAGGATTTGTTACAAACCAAGTTTTGTGTATATTAATAGAGGAGAAAAGCATAATTTACATATATTGTACTAAATATAGGAAAGCAGAGGAGTCATTGTAAAAGCAGGAAAAATTATGTTTTGATTGTTTCAACTGAAAGTTACATTTTAATTGAAAAGCAAGTTCATAAAGTTTTGGAAACTTCTGTAAGCTGTCTATCGTGGCTTCTCTTAAAGTAAGTCATTACCTGAATCTACTGTATTTAACCACTATGCTGATCTAGGCCCCCTACCCCCATCCAGTCTCCTAACACGATGTGGCAGCCATTTGAGCCTCAGACACTATCTTTTTACTTTGTTTTGTTTGGCTTTGTCCAACCATGGCTTTCTGCAGTAGTTCTGACCATTAGTTATTGTATTGATTTTGAAAAAGCAGTGCAAGTTTACTTCTGGTATTTTTGTACATTAGTCGGATTAAAGTATCTTCAGGTATGCATCTTCACTTCAGTGTAGGGAGCATCCAAAGACCAGTCTGGATGAGCTTCCCTAGATGGGTCTTTTTGACACGGTTGACATATTTGCTCTAGACGTTTGTTTTTTCAAGAGATCGTCTGAAGTTTTTGAATGTGATTAAAAATTAACATGCTTTTTATTTCTATTTTTTTAAATTAACATGCTTTTTCTTTTATACTATAATAAATGTTTGGGAGATGAATGACACTAGGAAATATAACTAGATTTTAATAAACAAGTGTTAAGTTTGAATTAATTTTGGTTTGGTGTTACAGTTTAAAGGAAATGCAAATGGAATACATTTTTAGGGTGCCTGGCTGGCTTAGTCGGAAGAGCACGTGACTCTTGATCTCAAGCCCCATGTTGGGTGTGGAGATTACTTAAATAAATAAAAACTTCAAAAAAAAGAATGGAGTGCATTTTTATAGCATAGCCTTTACATGCAGATTGTTTCTCCTAAATAGTCTTTACCTTCCAATATATAAGTATCATTATTGCATTCTTCTTCATACAGTCAAACCATTAAAACAAGTGTAAAAGTTACCTGGATTAGTTTTTGGAATTATCAGAGGATAATAATGTTGTGAATTATCTTTCTTCTTTCTTGCTTTTTGAGATATCTAATGGAAATAGTATAATCTATAAAACTGTGGAAGAGTAAATAATTTAGGCTGAGTTAAACCTGTAGTAAAACAGAAAATAAATTTTCCACTTTGTGTTGAATTTATGTAAGCAGTACCTATGAAAATAATACTTGATAGTGTATGGACTTTGCAAAAAAGATTGCATCTGCTTGTTTGAAACATGACCTCATGTGACTGCTTTGACCGTATTTGGGTTGATCAACTTCTTAAACAACATTCAGTTGCTCTTTTTTTCCTACTTAAAAGACCAACAAAAAATTATGATATTGATCAGATTAAACACTACCAGCTTTAAGAGAACAGCAGTTCATCAACATATATTTAAATGCCTACCAATTATAGGATATAACCTTTGTTAGGCCTTGGGTCTGCAAACACAGGAAGAAAAGGTGGCTTCCCTGAAGAAGTTCACTGTCTAGTGGAGGATGTAGAAAAGTAAACACATTATCATAATTGGCATGGAAGGGGCTGTGGTTGAGGTAAGCTTTTGGCACTGTTATCTAAGCTCCCCTGAGGAAAGTCTGAGAGGGTGAATGGCAATTAAATGATGGTAGAGGAGGGGGGGATGGCAGAAGATCTTTTTAGTCAGAATAAACAGTATACCCAGATCCTTTAAAAGAGGGCAGATGGGACTGGCTGGGTTGTGAGTGGGAGGGAGGGAATTAGATAGGGAGGAGGGGAGCAAAGTATGAATGGAGGAAGAAATGCCAAATGCCTTGCAGGTGCCTGATCCTGAGGGTGTTACAGTCCATGCTAATGAGTTTGGGCTTTATTCTGAGTACACCATTAAAGGGTTTTATGCAGACAAGTAACATAATCAGGTTGGCCCCTAGAAAGCTCATGCTAAAATTTAAGGATATGCTAGGAAAAAAGAGTGTATTCTCTAATGTAAAATTTTACAAAAGTCACATTTTTTCAGCATCTTCCTCAGAGAGTGCTTTGCTCGGTTTTCCAAATCCAGGGTTCTTAAAGCCTTGGTTTAGAAATGATCAAATGAGGAAAGGCATAACAGAGCCCCTTTCCTGGCTCTTATTTGGTCCCTCAACTTGGGGACTTACAGTGATTTTTAAAGTTTTGAAGACATCTGGAGTATAGGTGGAGGTTATTTAGCCATACAGTGTCAGCTCATCACTTTCAGAAAAACAAACTAGGTAAGTGAGGAACATATTAAAAACAGGAAGGTCTTAAGAAAAGACTTCAGACTTGCAGATTTTTTATTTTCTTAGGTAAATGAAAACAGACTGTTATACTGTCATTATAAATACAAATTAAAATTTATAAAATAAAGATTAGAGGGAAAGTAGAATTTAGAATGACTTCTTGTAAGAGATCTGCAATGGCAACTGGTAGTAGAGGAAACAAAGCAGGTCTCTGGTGACTCAAAGGACAAATTGCCTTTTGAACATGTAGTGGGAATGCCTGCAGAACAGTCATATGGGGTGATTGTGTAAATGTGTAGGTTACGATCTGAACCAGGGATGAAGATCTGTCAACTTGTACTCCAAATTACAGAGCAAGTCACATGATCCAGAGATTGACCCCCCATAAGGGTTAAAGCACCGAAGGAATTTCACCAGTAATCAGTGCACTCTAAATGAAATAATATTGTTTTCTTTGTTCAAAGGTAGTCTAGCTAAAGCCAAATTGTAATCTACTGTGGATTTAAAAGTTGAGCCTCGAATGAGTTACTCTGTTTCCTCTCAGAATTTGAGAGCCAGTGTATCTCCAGAGTTGGTTTATTTTTGCTTTTACTTTATTATCCTTATTTCTTACTCTTTATTTTTACCCTTTTCTTCAACAATCAGGAAAACATTCAAATATTTGCCAGTAGACAGTGGAGAAGAAGACAGGGCCAAGACAGGCGTACTAATATCTTGGACCTTTTTTCACCTTTCTCTCATAAGTAGTACTGAGCCATCATTTGGGTATGATTTCATTTCTGTCTGGAACATCAATGTCAAATTGAGTTTGGAGGGATATAAAGAGATAAAGCTAACAAAATGTCTAAGTGACTCACTACGATTCAGTGCCACACTTCCACATTGCGACTTTGGTCCCAAAATCAACCTTGAGCTTTGCATGGAGTGGAAAATACATATAAATTTTATAAAAACACTTTAAAAACCTCACCTGGTACAATATTTTTCTATTAGGAAAACCAAGGAGTGCCCTTGACAGTGCTTAACAGATGGAATTGGTTTGGAGAAGAGATGATCCGTTCACGGTCAGGTAGTAGAAGGATCACTGCTGGGAGCTGTCAGACATGGGAAGAATGGAACTAGATCACAGGCAGGTCGAGTTAGCAGTCACAAGACCTTGAGTATTTAACCATAAACACAGGTGAAAAGTTGAGAAATGTGGAGGGTGACCTCTGGGGGAGGAGCCCAGTGACAAATCAGGAGGAAGCCCAGAGCTAATGAAGCTAGTGGGTCTTTGAGAAAAGGAGGAGAAAAGCAATTATTAAACTTCACGTCACTCACAGATCAGCTACCTGTGGCATTCAAGTAGATACAAGATCTCGAACTGAACTGACCAGTTCAAAACTGACCTCTAAACACTGGTTTCCTCGGATTTTCGATTGCCCAAAAGGAACGAGAGGTAAAACAGTGTGGACAGCACAGGAGCATACACCAGCAGGTGCGAGGCTAGGGGAAGCCTTCATTTGGCCTCTGTAATGTTGTTACCCAAGCAAGTCACGTAACCTCTTTCGTTCTTCGGGGGTATCTCATCCATAAAATGAAGAAGCTGGATTTGATGTGTAAAAGCCTTTTAGCTGTAAAATAAATTTATTTTTCTGTGGTAACCCTTACCCTCTGCCTCTTACTTTTTTTGAAAGGAAGTACATTGTTTTGGGAAGTTGATAAAAAGCTGCCCTCCTCTGTTGTTTTTAGGAAAGTGCCCTGCCAGTGTGGGCCCTGGATAGGTATTCAGCATTAGGGGTAGGATTACAGCCCCAAATCTTACCACTCACATTTTAAACTAGACCTGCCTCATTTCTGAATCAACTCAATGTATTAATTGCCTAACTTAGAAAATTGGTTCATTAGAGAATTCTCACGTTTTATAACCTGGAGATTTCCTATTTTAAGAAACTTTTAACCTTCGGTAGGTAAGGTACTAGATATTGGCACTTAATCAGCAAATTCTTAATTTTGCCATCTAATAGATGTTGACTCACTTTTGTAAATGCCAAAAAAAAGATGAAACTCTGGTTCCATTGAGAAAAGAGCAGCTTAACTTACTGATTTAAATGATACTGCTACTCTGGCCTCCAGGCTTCCTATGGGAAAAAGTGAGGCCACGGCTGAATGTTAACCCTGTACTTTCATAGGGCTTTTCAGCAGCACTTGTATATGGCAGAGAGTAAACGAAAAGAAAATGAGGGCAACTGAATTTGTTTTCAAATACTTATATGGAAGCTAGACAACCAGCAGTTCCAGAATCAAGACCTCTAATCCTTGCAAAATGATGTCCCCGAGCAACTACCAGTATCCAGGGGAAACATCAGTGGTCTTGGTTTTGATCTTGGATTAGCAGACATTGTAGCATCAACCTGCTTCTCTAGAAGGGCTTTTGGACAGGAGGTCAAAGAGTAATCAGATTAAGGTTGTTTAAATACCTCCATTAAATTAAGAAAGTAATATTCTAGGGAAGAAGGCCTTGGTACTTTCTTATCAGACTTCAAAGAAAAGATGTACTTTGAGGTCTGACTGAGGTATTTTATAATTTTTTATTTGATCCAGTTTTCTAAGGCATGTTAGAAGAATAACTAACATGGCACATGTCTTTCCTCCCTTCCCCCAAATAAAGATAACCACTAACCAGTCTGGTTATCCCACTAAAACCTTACCATCTTTTATAACACTTGGCTTGTCACACTGTTGCATGAAGCGTCTTCCTTTCCATTGTACTGAGCATGAATTATATGTAGCAAGATTGAAGTATTTTCCACAAACAAACTTTTGTTTATGCTTTGAGATGTAACATTTCTGCTCAGGGCTCTGTTGCTTTTTTACAGAATCCATTTTTCCAATTAAAAAATAACATATTAAGAGAGTCTTCTTTTTACCAATTAGGTCAAAGTCCTAAAATTTTAAGACCCAAACCCCATGGTTTAGAGCGAACTGATTCACAAACCATAGGTGACTTTGCTACAAGAAGAAAGGGTATGTACTTTAGCACCGCATGCTGGATGGGGCATTGGGAATTTATTTATTTTGTGATGGTTTTTTCTTAAAAAGTAAAAGAGAAGAGCCTTAAGTACTACTGATGTTGTAAATAAAGCTTCCTAGCACATTATTTCTGAAGTGAATGCTTCCCATAATGTGTGTCTTCCCATTGTGGCTTTCCATAGACCCAAGTCTACTTGTTATGCCATGAATAGCAGCATGATAAATTTGATAATACATGATATTTAGTCTTGTCCTTTTGCATTATTCTCTTAACCTTTTGGACACCCATACATTGTTTTCATTAAGCTTGTGAGCTACTTGTGAGTTCCAAATGCCTTCTTTATTTATATAGAATGTGATATATATTCTGTTCTGAGACAAAATAAAGAATCACTTCCCATGGATTATTTTATGCCATTACTTAGAATTTGACAGCTTAAACTGCCATTAGCCTCTGGGTTTCAAAAAAGTGAAACATAAGAATTAAAGAAATATGTTCACTAAGCACAATACTATTTTAAGTGTATACGTGAGCAAGATTTAAACTCAGACTTAATCTAGTCTTCAGAAAATCACATTGAGTTTTTTGTTTTGAATAGACAAAAATACTTACAAGCCCCAGTGATTCTGCATAGTCCTTTAAAATGACCAGCTATTTTATTGTTTGATGGTAATTATAACATAGTTGATTAAAAGTATGAGTTGAGTAAAAGTATGTCCATATATGGACAAAGACTAGAAGAAGGAAACCTAGAAAAATGAAATTTTTTTCTTTGGAGTGGCAGGATGAAACGTAACCAAAATATTTACCCAATATGTTTAAATAGTCTCCTAAAATATAATTAATATTAACATACAGTTTTATTTCTTTTGTTCATTTAATTTATTTCTGAAAAATGTTTCATTCTTGACCTTAAGGGCTGAGAGCTCTGTGGTATTTACTAGCGTGGTAATTCTCTGTTGTAATAATGAGGTACATAAGCAAAGACCACTTATAAATCAAGCCAATAAGAATATTAGTGTTTATTATTATTTAATTTGATAAAGGATATTGTTGGTTAAATAAGCTAAAAATTTGAGGTAATTTTTAATAATGGCCTTCTCTCAGAGCTGAGTTTGAGTCTTAAAATGTTATTATTGCTTTCTTTTATTTGTTTTCAGACTGGGCTTGAATTAGTTTAAAAGATTTGGTCAATTCTTTTTTCAGTTTTTGATTTTAGCAAAGTTCGGTGTTTAATGCTTTCTATACATCATATTATATATATATAGTTGTATAACTGATGCTTCAGTGTTGAAGAGTAGAAATGTTTTTACATAGAAATTAAAGCTCTATACTTGGGGATAAAATTATTTTTTAAAAAAGGAAATAAGGAAATAATGAAAGGTATACATTAAGTAACTAAAGGAATTGGGTCACATTACCCTTTCTTCTCGTTTAGTTTATTTTCATAAAATATTAAATTAAGAAGCAACGTGTTGTAATAGAGCTTTAGACTTTGAGTCAACAACCATGAAACATTATTGGATTTAGCTTTTGTCACTCATTATTTAGCTGTGTAACCTTGGGCAAATCACGTAACATCCATGAAGCTGGTTTCATGTGTGAAACCAGCTGGTCTTAGATGTACTCTGGCTGTAACGTATAAGTAGAGAGAGTGAAGATCTTGTTTTGTTTTCCAAATTTCTGTATACTGAAGCCTCTTTTTCTCTTTTTCATTTCAGCCAAGCCAGCACCTTTAGAAATAAAACCTTTGCCAGAATGGGAAGAGCTACAAGCCCCAGTTAGATCTCCCATCACTAGGAGTTTTGCTCGAGAGTAAGTCTTTGTTTAAAATATGTACCTTGATTGTTCACTATAATGGAAAATACCTGGAACAGTGGTTCCCAAAGTATGGTCTGGGAAGCCCCTCCTTTTCGGGTTCTGTGAGGTCAAAACTATTTTCATTAAGATGCTAAGATGGCTTTTGCTTTTTCCACTCTCTCTCATGAGTATTTGCTGGACTTTTCCAGAGGCTACATAGTGTTTGATCATATCCCTGGGGCAGGTAATAAATAGAAAATATTTGTGTACTCTTGTGGTGTTTTTTGTTTGTTTGTTTTTATGTATAAGTCTATTTTTTTAATTCAATTAATTAACATATAATGTATTATCAGTTTCAGAGGTAGAGGTCAGTGATTCATCAGTCTTATATAATAACCAGTGCTCATTACATCATGTGCCCTCCTTAATATCTACCACGCAGTTACCCCATCCCCCCACCCCCCGCCCCTCCAGCAACCCTCAGTTTGTTTCCTATGATTAAGATTCTCTTATGGTTTGTCTCCCTCTCTGATTTCATCTTGTTTTATTTTTTCTTCCCTTCCCCTATGATCCTCTGTTTTGTTTCTTAAATTCCACGTATGAGTGAGATCATATGATAATTGTCTTTCTCTGATTGACTTAGCTTAGCGTAATACCCTCTAGTTCCATCCTTGCCACTGCAAACGGCAAGATTTCATTTTTTTGAATGCCAAGTAATAGTCCATTGCGTGTGTATATATATCACATCTTCTTTATTCATTCATCTGTGGATGGACATCTGGGCTCTTTCCATAGTTTGGCTGTTGTGGACATTGCTGCTAAAAACACTGGGGTGCATGTGCCCTTTTGGATCACTACTTTTGTATCTTTGGGGTTAAATACCCACTAGTGCAATTGCTGGGTCGTAGGGTAGCTCTATTTTCAACTTTTTGAGGAACCTCCATACTGTTTTCTAGAGTAGCTGCACCAGCTTGCATTCCCACCAACAGTGTAAGAGGGTTCCCCTTTCTCCATACCCTCGCCAACATCTTTCGTTTCCTGACTTGTTAATTTTAGCCATTCTGACTGGTGTGAGGTGGTATCTTATTGAGGTTTTGATTTGTATTTCCCTGATGCCGAGTGATGTTGAGCATTTTTTCATGTGTCGGTTGCCATTTGGATGTCTTTGCAGAAATGTCTGTTAATGCCTTCTGCCCATTTCTTAATTGGATGATTTGTTCTTTGGGTGTTGAGTTTGATAAGTTCTTTATAGATTTTGGATACTAGCCCTTTATCTGATAAGGCATTTGCAAATACCTTCTCCCATTCTGTTAGTTGTCTTTGGTTTTGTTAACTGTTTCCTTTGTCGTGCAAAATCTTTTTATCTTGATGAAGTCCCAATAGTTCATTTTTGCCTTTGTTTCTCTGGCCTTTGGAGACGTGTCTAGCAAGAAGTTGCTGCGGCCAAGGTCGCAGAGGTTTCTGCCTATGTTCTTCTCTAGGATTTTGATGGATTCCTGTTTCACATTTAGGTCTTTCATCCATTTTGAGTCTATATTTATGTATGATGAAAGGAAATGGTCCAGTTTCATTCTTCTGCATGTGGCTGTGCAATTTTCCCAACACCATTTGTTGAAGAGACCATCTTTTTTCTATTGGATATTCTTTCATGCTTTGTCGAAGATCAGCTGACCAGAGTTGAGGGTCTATTTCCGGGTTCTCTATTCTGTTCCATTGATCTGTGTGTCTGTTTTTGTACCAGTACCATACTGTCTTGATGAATATAGCTTTGTAATAGAGCTTGAAGTCCAGAATTGTGATGCCACCAGCTTTGGGGGTTTTTTCCAACATTCCTTTGGCTATTCAGGGTCTTTTCTGGTTCCATACAAATTTTAGGATTATTTGTTCCAGCTCTGTGAAAAAAGTTGATGGCATTTTGATAGGGATTACAATGAATTGCTCTAGGTAGCACAGACATTTTAACAATATTTGTTCTTCTAATCCATAAACTTGCAATGTTTTTCCATTTCTTTGTGTCTTCCTCAATTTCTTAAATGAGTGATCTATAGTTTTCTGAATACAGATTCTTTGCCTCTTTGGTTAGATTTATTCCTAGGTATCTTACGGTTTTGGTACAATTGTAAATGGTATCAACTCCTTAATCTCTCTTTCTTCTGTCTCATTGTTAGTGTATAGAAATGCAACTGATTTCTGGGCATTAATTTTATATCCTGCCACTTGAATTCCTGTATGAATTCTAGCAATTCTGGGGTGGGGTCTTTTGGGTTTTTCACATAGAGTATCACGTCATCTGCAAAGAGTGAGAGTTTGACTTCTTTGCCAATTTGGATGCCTTTTATTTCTTTTTATTGTCTGATTGCTGAGGCTAGGACTTCTAGTACTGTGTTGAATAAAAAATTGGTGAGAGGTGACATGCCTGTCATGTTTCTGACCTTAGGGGGAAAGCTCTCAGTTTTCCCCATTGAGAATGATATTTACGGTGGGCTTTTTGTAGATGGCTTCTATGATATTGAGGTATGTTCCCTCTATCCCTACACTGTGAAGAGTTTTAATCAAGAAAGGATGCTGTACTTTGTCAAATGCTTTTTCTGCATCGGTTGAGAGGATCATATGGTTCTTGTCCTTTCTTTTATTAATGTGGTGTATCATGTAGATTAATTTGCAGATGTTGAACCAACCTGTTCTTTCTCCAGCTCCTTTAGGTTTAAGGTTAGGTTGTGATTTGAGACTTTGTGTTTTTGAGGAAGGCTTGTATTGCTATATACTTCCCTCTTAGGACTGCCTTTGTTGCATCCCAAAGATTTTGAACAGTCGTGTTTTCATTTTCATTTGTTTCCATGAATTTTTTAAATTCTTCTTTAATGTCCTGGTTGACTCATTCATTCTTTAGTAGGATGCTCTTTAGCCTCCATGTTTTGAGTTCTTTCCAGATTTCCTCTTGTGATTGAGTTCAACTTTCAAAGCATTGTAGTCTGAAAATATGCAGGGAATGATCCCAATCTTTTGGTTCCAGTTGAGACCTGACTTGTGACCCAGAATGTGATCTATTCTGGAGAATGTTCTGTGTGCAGTAGAGAAGAATATGTATTCTGTTGCTTTGGGATGGAATGTTCTGAATATATCTGTGAAGTCCATCTGGTCCAGTGTGTCATTTAAAGCCTTTATTTCCTTGTTGATCTTTTGCTTAAATGATCTGTCCATTTCGGTGAGGAGGGTGTTAAAGTCCCCTACTATTATTGTATTATTGTCTATGTGTTTCTTTGATTTTGTTATTAATTGGCTGCTCCCATGTTAGGGGCATAGATACTTAAAATTGTTAGATCTTCTTGTTGTATAGACCCATTAAGTATGATGCAGTGTCCTTCCTCATCTCTTATTACAGTCTTTGGTTTAAAACCTAATTTGTCTGATATAAGGATTGCCACCCCAGCTTTCTTTTGATGTCCATTAGCATGATAAATGGTTTTCCACCCCCTCACTTTCAATCTGGAGGTGTCTTTACAGCATATCCCCGGGTCTTGCCTTTTTATCCAATCTGATACCCTTTGTCTTTTGATTGGGGTATTTAGCCCATTTACATTCAGAGTAACTATTGAGAGATGAATTTAGTGCCATTGTATTACCTGTGAAGTTACTGTTTCTGTATATTGTTTCTGTTCCTTTCTGGTTTATGTTACTTTTGGGCTGTCTCTTTGTTTACAGGATCCCCTATAATATTTCTTGCCAGGCTGGTTTAGTGATTAGAAATTCTTTTAGTTTCTGTTTCTCCTGGAAGCTTTTTATCTCTCTTTCTATTTCGAATGACATCCTTGCTGGATAAAGTATTGTTGGCTGTATGTTTTTCTCATTTAGCACACTGAATATATCATGCCAGTCCTTTCTGGCCTGCCAGATCTCTATGGATAGGTCTGCTGCCAGTCTAATGTTTCTACCCTTGTAGGTTATAGACTTCTTGTCCTGAGCAGCTTTCAGGATTTTCTCCTTGTGAGATTTGCATGTTTCACTATTATATGTCGAGGTTTTGACCTATTTTTATTGATTTTGAGGGGAGTTGTCTGTGCCTCCTGGACTTGAATGCCTGTTTCCTTCCACAGATGAGGGAAGTTCTCAGCTATGATTTGCTCCAATATACCTTCTGTCTCTCTTTCTCTCTCTTTTTTTTTTTTTTTTGTCTTCTACTGGGATCCCAATTATTCTAATACTGTTTCACTTTATGGTATCTCTTATCTCTCGAATTTTCCCCTTGTGATCCAGTAGTTGTTTCTCTCTTTTTCTCGCCTTCCTTACTCTCCATCATTTGGTCTTCTGTATCACTAATTCTCTCTTCTGCCTCATTTATCCTCGCAGTTAGAGCCTCCATTTTTTATTGCATCTCATTAATAGCTTTTTTATTTCGACTTGGTTTGATTTTAGATCTTTTATTTCTCCAGAAAGGGATTCTCTAGTGTATTCTATGCTTTTTTCAAGCCTAGCTATTATCTTTTTTATAATCATTATTCTGAACTCTAATTCTGACATCTTACTTATGTCCATACCAGTTAGGTCCCTGGCAGTTGGTACTGCCTCTTATTCGCTTTTGAGGTGAATTTTTCTGTCTTGTCGTTGTTGCAGAAAATGGTCACTTTTCTATTTGTGGAGTTGCAGCTATTCTTTTCTTAGATCTCTGGTTGAGTTCACAGGTGTTCAGAATGATTTGATAGCTATCTAGCTGAATTCCTGGGACCAGACCAGACTAAGGTCTCCTACTCCTCCACCATCCTGGACTATTACTCTTGTGTTTTTAAGAAATGTTCTATTATTTGTAATATGGTAAATAGGTATAACCCAAATAAACAAAGTTCCTTGGGGTTCTCAATAATTTTTAAGGGTGTAAATGGTTCGTGAGGCTAGAAATTTCTGAGACCCACTGATCTGGAAAATACGGCCAGTTTCTTGTGGGGGTTATTTAATCAAGATTTTTGTGAATATGTGAAGAATATGTGAAGTTACAAACCTGCATTAAATATGTGTTTGTGTTTTATGTGTTCATATAGCTAGTTTTTTTAACTAGGAACTCTTCAATATTCCTTTTCATATCTGTGACTTTCTACTTATCCCCCAAATCACTGGCAATACTTTTTTTGTTCTACACAAGGAATTTGATGCCTGAAGATATACTTTTTACTATATAGCTATAAACATTAGGTGTGCATTTGAATGTATGCAGTAAGTTGTATTAAAATAAATGTATACAATAAATGATTGTAAACTTTAGTGAATATTTCTGAAAGAATGTAAACTATCACTCATTTTTATTTCGGAAGTGATTTTAGAAACTGTTGTTCAGGTTTAGGTTTGTAATAGTAGTTTCTATAATTAGCTCCTCTAGGTTTCCCTTGTCTCCCCGACCGGATTCAGTGCATAGCACAACTTCAAGCAGCGACTCCCATGACAGTGAAGAGAATTACGTTCCCATGAACCCAAACCTGTCCAGCGAGGACTCAGTACGTAATGTGTGCATTTTCACTTCTGTCTTTCCAAGCAGCCCTTCCAAGTCCTGCACGCCAGGACATTTCTTCCAGTCTCTAAATCTTACCTTTATATACTTAAGGAAAAAGGATAGAAGACAGTTTTTTAAAAATGCTTTTTAAATAATAATGTTGTAAAGTTTAAAACCAATAAAGCATCAGTGTGTAATATCAGCATCTATAAAGTAGATAAAAATTAGTTAAAAATCATAAAAATTTTATAGTTATATTTCTTTTAAGATATATTTGATTTTTGAAACTATCCAAGAAAATATACTGGAAGTATTTCATAATGCAGTTCTCCAGGCCCACTTTATGGCACTCTTAGAGTGAAATGATCTTATATAGGAGGCCTTTTGATAATCTTTCAATAATATACCCTTAGATGTGGCTTAGATTACAGACCTGTTACAAACCTGATTTGTTTCAGATTGGCTGTATTACCATAAGGCACAAGCATTTGGTAATTGTAGCAAGGCTGTGTTCTCCAGAAATTACATAGTTGCTAGAAAATACTGCAGCTATTTAAGAATACAAGCTATTTTAGTGTTGAAATAATATTTTGCTTTTGTTTTCCCTCAAATCAGGTTCAATGCTTGCTCTGTTACTTGTATTTTAGTAGATGAGTATATCAGTTATGATTAGGTTCACCTCCAAGTAACAAAAGATAAACAAATAACAATGACTTTAAACAGACATTTATTTCTTTCTCATATAAGAGTTCAGAGAGGCAAGCCAGGATTGTTGTAAGCAGCCCTGTTTTACAAAGTCCTCAGGGACTCTGACCCCTTCCAGTTCTCCTATCCGCCATCTTCTGGGTGTGGTTCACATGCTCCTAGAACAAGGGGTGCTGCACCAGCAATTCACATTCTAAAGCTGCAGAATAGAGGAAAGCCTATCTGCCTTATAAAGAAGGTTCCCAGAAACTGCCATACACACTGTGTGGCCACATAGACACAAAAGGGGCTGGGAAACCTCCTTTGTTCTGAGAGACAGTGGGCCTGGCTAAAAACCTATTCATGTGGGAGAGGGAAAGACAGATGTTAGGGCACAACCAGGTAGTATCTGCCAGGATAAGCAAGCATGTGATACCAAAATTTGGAATGGGTAACATTTTAGTGACTTTATTTTCTTTAAAGCAATACTCTAGAGATTCAAAATAGAATCTCTATCAACAAATTTGTTTTACTTCTTTAATGTACTTTAGGCAAAAACAGGTTCCTCACAAAAATTAGATGATTTGAAAAGCTTGATGTGGTGCTTAAACTAACTTTAAAATATCAAATTTATACATTGTTCAAAATGAATAAGATAATTTAAAATATTTATATCAGCCCTGGATTAGAATACAAACTAGCTATATCAATAATGCTTTCACTGATTTTTTAAGGCAGAGCAATTTTTATTAATTGGTTTCTGCTTTTGCATTCAAGATTTTTCAACTTGATAAGTGGCGTTTTATTATTTTTATTAACTTATTTTTTTCTCATTATAGTAAATAGACTGGTAAAAGTCTATATAATTCCTCAGTGCAATATCAGAGTACATATTGTTATCAATTTTTATCTTTAGGTGGTTGAATGGATTTTTTTTATTACAAAAGTAATTATTTTCTGAGATACTAAAAGAGTTTCCTTTTGCCCAAAGTAGTAAATTACTGTAAAAATCTTGGAAAGGACATGTAATAGGCAAGTTTGGAAATGTGATTTGTCACAAGTTAGTGTTAGGTGAAGGGAAAAGATGAGAAAGAAAAACATTACAATCAGAAAGTCAAAGGAAATAAAGAAAATAAAATTTTCTTTTATCCCTTATATCATTAGGCCAGAAAGGTCCTTTTGCCTGCCAGCTGATGATTTTCTAAAGTACTTCGGTCCTAAGTGTTAGAAATAAGCAAAAATGTTCCCAGTAAAAATATCCACCCCCCCATTCACAATAGAAAAGCCAGCCACCATTTCCATTTCCTCATGCTGCTAGCTATAAGAGTTCATCATAGTCCAGACAACTCTTCCTTAGAAAAGAACATGATAGTTAACACCAATGTTTTCCATACCTCTTGGAAGTTAGTACATTAATGGAATATCATAGAAATTCACAAGATCTCATTATGCTTGGACTGATGAAGTCAGTAAAAAAAATTGTCTTGGAGAAGTTGAGACAGGATCAGATCAAATCTGGCTTATGCCTACAATGAAGATTAAATTCTGTACATTGAAGTTTCAAAGCATGATACATTTACCATCCTGGTGATCATAGAGCAGGCAGTGTTTAATGAAACCATGATGCTGGCCTATTAATTTACAGAGATCCAAAGTTAGGCATTCGTGAAGTGAACCCTTAAAATGACACTTGAAATTTGGGTGACCATACCTCACTACTAAAGACATAAATATTGTTATATAACAATGACAACAAAAATATGTTCAACAATTTCCCGTACTTTAAAAAGAATTTTAGAAAATCAAAGCACTACTTTTTTTTTTTTTAAATCATAGAACATTTATGATAACTCCTAGAATCTTAGGGTTTTTCTAAACTGTTTTGGGAAAACACTGGTTTAAAGAGTAGAACGCAGGGACAGGTTGTTCCCAGTTGAGATTAGATCAAGAGTAAATGGACTATCTTGCAGGGACACAAATTTTAACAATACTTAAAGATGAAAAATTTTCCAATTCTAATAATAACTAGACAGAAAACAGTTTAACCAGCAATTCTGAGAAATTCTCTTTAGGAACAACTTGAGTTTAAATTAAAATGTACATCATATGAACTCAAAGGTTCCTTTCATAGCCTTGCAATACCATGAACGCTGGCATTTCCAATTAGGGGAATTCCAGGTTTGGGTTCTCTCACGAGTCACATTTGAATACAAAATTTTACACACACACACACACACACACACACTTCTGCTTGATTTTTTTATGTGAGAATGAAATATGGAGTTATTCAGAAAAAAAAATTTCAGTTTCTTTATGAATTAGGAACAAAAGAGAGAGGGAAATAGCTATTTGTACTAATTGAGCAGCAAAACTTGCTTACATTTTTTTGTGCCCTAGATGTTATTTTCAATATTTTTTTAAATGTTTTATCAGTAGTAGTTGGTAAACTTGGTTTAAAAATCTGTTCCTACAGATAGAGCCCTCACATTCAGTCATGCAGCTTGCTCACTGCATAAATATGCTGTGTACAGTATGTAATATGTCCAGTAGACTGCAGAGTACTGCATTTGTGGGTACGTGCAGTTCAGACTGTGTCCTGCTCACCAGGCCCTGGGCCTGGACAGAGCTGTGTAGCCCTACAGGCAGGAACACCTTTTTCTAATTCACAGAAATGTTTCACACGGGCTATCAGCAGCCCTGCTTCAAATGAAGAAATAAATTCAGTATTTAATTTCTAGCAATTTCCTTTCCCTAAATCACAGTTTACTCTGTTTAACTCGAACTAAAAGAAAAGGAGTAGCAATATAAAAGAATCAACAGGGGGTGTGTGGGTAGCTTAGTTGGTCAAGTGTCCAGCTCTTGATTTTGGCTCAGGTGATGAACTCAGGGTCCTGAGATCAAGCCCTGCCTGGGGCTGTGCACTGGGCGTGGAGCCTGCTTAAGATTCTCTCTCCCTCTCCCTCCACCCCACCCCTGCTGGTATGCACGCCTACACTCCATCTCTCTCTTTTAAAAAAAAGAACAGAACCAGGTTTATGCAGTTTCCAAATTGTTTTGTTCATTATAATAAGTATAAATTTTAAGTATATTACATCATTACAGTTTTCTTCAAAAGTATGAGATAATATGTGAATATTCATATGTACGTGATAGAAGACACAAGGATGGAAGCTGCTAATGAATATGTATATAGTCTTGCCTATGAGAAGTCCAGAACATTTCTGGGTGAGGTTAAAAGCAGCAAGGCAGGGAAACAAGGCATTTGTTGGCACACGTTTAGAAGGGCTGTTGTAATTAGCGTAGAGGATATATGTGCAGGAGCATAAATTCATGTCATCCTTTCCTTCTTATTCAGCATTGATCTTCAGGTTCCTAATAGCCTGTTGCTTTTACATTTTTCTGCCTCAGGCTTTTTTGTTTTTATCATTTATTGCCATCCTCTATCTTCCTTTTTCCTTTTATCTTTTTTTAGAAAGTAGCCCTTCTATGGTACAATTCCTATTAGGACGGAAGAGATAAGGCTAAAGAGAAGACAGAAGAAATGAAGTGGTAAAAATTCCAGATGGTTGAAACAAAACGAATTTTGCCAGTGGAGTAATTGTTCATAGCCTTTAGTTAACATACATATTATAAACTAATTTCAGTGTGAGAGCTTTTTTTTTTTTAAGATTTACTTATTTATTTATTTGAGAGAGAGAGAGAAAGTGCAAGCAGGAGGAGGGCCAGAGGGAGAGGGAGACTCAAGCAGACTCCCTGCTGAGCACAGAGCCAACCGCATGATCCTAAGATCATGACCTGAGCCTAAACCCAGAGTCGATTGCTCAACTGACTGAGCCCACCAAGTGCCCAACATGAAAGCCTTTAAATAAAATATAGAACTTATTAAAAATTTTAATTAGAAAGCAAGGAGTGAAAGGATCTGTTAGTTTAAAAATATAATTGTGTAAAGATACCATTTTAATAATGTTCAGATGGTCCTATCGCAACTAACTGTAGCTTGATGTTTTAGTCTTAGTTTGAACCAAGTTTGACTTCTGAAACCGCATTTAACTTGCTCTCAGCTAAGTTGTAACTGGTTTTATTAATATTACTTATTTTCCTCCAATCCTAAAAGGTTACTTAACTTTCTAAGCAGACATTGTTTTAAGCCATATCCTCTTGAAACAAATATTTTGGCTTTAATAGATGATAAACAAGATAAGCAGTATGTCTCATGGATGTCCAGCAGTTGATTTTGTTGTATCACCATTTTTAGAATCTTTTTGGCAGTAATAGTCTTGATGGAAGAAGCAGTCCTATGGTCAAGCCCAAAGGAGACAAACAAGTGGAATACCTGGATCTAGATTTAGATTCTGGGAAATCCACACCACCACGTAAGGTAAGTGAAATCTCATTCTATAAACACAATCAGCTCACCTTTTGTAAACCCACAGACTCATGTTTCCTTTGGGGAAATTTTATTAGTGTGTTTAATTTAAATTTAATAAAGTCTGTTACTTAATATTGCTTCATAAATCACAATTAACAAAGTTATGGAGACTAATAAGTTAATTTTTTCCTTTTTAATGGTACAGAAATTATACACTTCTTCTCTTTTAGTGGTTACTGTTGAAGTGCTTGCTTAACAAAATCTGAAGTTAATCATTGTCTTCATTCTCACATTACTCCCCTTCTGACTTATGTGCTATTTTTGTCCAATGTTTTGGTTTTTTTCCTTTTTTTAAATCCACAAATTACACAATAGTACTATTAGTAGTATTCTTTATAATATAGACAGTGTTTACTTAATTTTCCTACATACTTGGCAAACTTCTCTTTCTTATCATTTCTTCTTGTATTTTAGCCCTTCCTCCCATAATCATTTTTTTTCTTTTTTTCTTGGGGGGGCGGTGGGAGGGGCCTGTGGGGAGAAGAGCAGAGGGAGAGGGAGAGAGAATCTTAAGCAGGCTCCACACCCAGCGTGGAGCCCAACATGGGGCTCCATCTCACGACCCTGAGATCATGACCTGAGCTGAAATCAAGAGTCAAATGCTTAACCAATGAGCCACCCAGCTGCCCCCATTAATCATTTTCTCTTCCTCCTGGAATACATCTTTTAGAAGTTCCTCTTGGGGGGGGAGGTCTGTTAGTGGTAAATTCTTGCAATTTTTGTTTGAGTGAAATATCTGTATTTTGCCCTAATTCTTGAAAAAGAGTTTTTTTGAGTTCACAGTTCTTGATTGGCAATAAATTTCTCTCTCAACACATAGAAGATACTGTTCACTATCATCTGTCTTCCAATGTTCCTGTTGAAAAGTATGCTGTCAATTTAATTACAGTTCCTTTGTAGATAATTTGTCTTTTTTGTCTGACTGATGTTAATCTTTTTTATATCTTTAGTATTCTGCATGTTTACTACAATGTATCTAGACATAGATTGCTTTTTATTTATCATGCTTGATGGAAGTTGTGCTGTTTTTATTTCTGGATTTGTATTTTTTATCAGTTCTGGAAAAGTCCCAGTCATTATCACTCTCTTTTTCCCCCCCCAGTCATTATCTCTTTAAATACAGCTTTTCAACTATTCCTCTTATCCTCTCATTTGAGGTTTCTTATTAGAGATTAGTTAGAACTTATTTTATTTTCCATATCTCTTCACTTTTTCATATTTTCTCTCTATTCATCTCTTTGTACTTACCTGGATAATTTCTTTAGATCTGTCACCAAGTTCACTAATTCCCAATTATCCTGTTTAACCCATTGTTTAATTTTTAATTTCAGTTATTTTTATTTCTAAAATGAAATTTTGCTTGTTTTTTTAAATATGCCTAGCTCTTTGGAATAGTTTCTTATATCTTGTTATTTTATTCCTTTTATTTAGTTTTCTTGATTCCTTTAAAGATTTTATACATACATATTTTATACTGTTTATTGTCATTTCAATATCTGAAGTCCTTGGAGGTCTGAATCTGTGTTTGTTATTTCTGCTCACTCTTGATAGCTTGTTTACTTCCATGTTTTATACATTTTTTTGCAAATTCATTTTGCTGAGCATATCTGTGGGAATCCCATGGACCTAATTTCCTTCGAAATAGATTTGCATTTTCTTCTGCTGGGAAGCACTCTAGGACCACCTCAGTTCCCTTCAGGGGTCCCTAGCTTAACAGGATGGTCTCAAATTGTGCAAGCCCTCCCACCCGGGGCCTCCTGATTGCGTCGTTGAGATTGACATTCATCCTGAAGACAACTGTAAAGTTTACCTTGAGGAGCTCTTCGTCCCCTCTGTTTCCCTCACACCTTGGGTATTTCTCTTACTTTCTAGAGAGCCCAGCAATGCATTAGTAATTACATGTGTTTTAAGTTAGTTAGTATTTAGTTGTATTTTAGAAGTAAGAGGTCCTGGGGCGCCTGGGTGGCTCAGTCAGTTAGGGCATCTGCCTTCGGCTCAGGTCATGATCCCAGAGTCCTGGGATTGAACCTCACATCGGGCTCCCTGCTGAGAGGGAGAAGCCATCTTCCCTCTCCCTCTGCCACTCCCCCTGCCACTCCCCTGGCTTGTGCACAGTCTCTCTCTTTCTCTCCCTCAAATAAATAAATAAAATCTTAAAAAAAAAAAGAAGAGGTCCTGTCAGCCTATGTAGTTTGCCATTCTTGAAATACTGCTTTTAAAAAAAGCATTTCTTAGCTCTGAAAGTGAACACTGATACATGTTCTCAGGACTTGAAAAAGTGAAGCTTAAGCTAAAGGGAGAAGCAAGCTGTGTATCTTAAGATGAACCAGGTGTCTGCAATCCCTATTTTACAAGAATTCCATCTGTGTTAGGAGCATTAGTCTGCATTCTTTTACATAGTGATTTTAAATTTAAGGGGAAAACAGTATACAGTTAGGAGAAAAATAACATTGTTAAATTGAGGTAATGTTATTTTATGTGTGTGATCCAATAGAATTGCAAGAGTTATTCACAGCATGTGAGTGTCAATGTTTTAAGACTAAATTTCACTCAGGACTCTTTTATATGTGGGGTTTATGGTGTTTTTCGTTGCTTTTTAGCAAAAGAGCAGTGGCTCGGGCAGCAGTGTAGCTGATGAGAGAGTAGATTATGTTGTGGTTGACCAACAGAAGACCCTGGCCCTAAAGAGCACCCGGGAAGCCTGGACAGACGGGAGACAGTCCACAGAATCTGAAACACCAGCCAAGATTGTGAAATGAAAATATTGCTTCACTGTTTCTGAACAAAAGAGAACTGAATTGTAAAGATAAATCCTGTTTAACTGAAGATGACTTGACACTTCTGTTCTAGGTAGATCCTCAACTGAGTAGAATTGAAGTCAAAGGACCTTTCAGACATAATCAAACAATTTAGACTGTAAATGGTGCTTTGTGGTATCTGAACAATTCATAACATGTAAATAATGTGGGAAAATAGTATTGTCTAGCTCCCAGAGAAGCATTTGTTCCATAGTTAACTCACTTGTCGTATTACTGTATTTATGCACTTTTTCATTTAAAACATTGGTTTGGGTATTCCCAGATGTTCCTTAACATAATTCCTTTGGGAGTTCTTGTTTTTCCTCACACTACTCTATATAACAATACTAGGTTAACTAAGCTACTTTTAGATTTGGAAATTGCTCTTTAAACTGCACTCTAACAACATTAAAATGAGAAGTAGATCCACGATTTACCTTTCTACCTGAAACTTGAGGTGATAACCATTAGCTTAAACTACAGAGTATATTGACTCATCATTCACTGCTTTCCAAAATGCTGAGGATAATGTATGTACTGGTGTCAGGAACTAATTCTCTGGTTCATGTACATTGAGTTTTCAATGGTGGAACTTTATTATATTTTGTTAATTACGGTGTTTTTGGTTCATTGAGTTAAGATTCTGCCAGGTGGGATCTTACACCTTGGAATGCACTATCAAGGAAGCCTACAGATCACTTACAGTATGCAGTGATGATGTGCTCTCACACTTGTTAACGTGTATTAAACTTTACATTATTTGCAAAATGTAGGTTATATAACTAATCAGGTACGTACCAGGCACTGATGTGCTAATACACTGATCAGGTTTAGACAATGAGCTTTAGTAGTGTTCTTGTAAGTCCTAATATTGGTTTCCAGTTTGGACTTAATCAAACATTCACTGTTAGTTATAGCAACATACTGTGATTTTTTTAATTAGACAGTAATTCAGATTTATTACTCTTAAGAATGAAATTCTGTCTTTTGACACCATAGTGCCCTTTCTATGATTTTTTTAGCTTTACTTTATATTCTTCTTGGCCTTATATTTAAATCCCTATGCAATTAATATTTTATATCTACATTTAAAAAAAATAGATGTTCTATAATTGATTCTCATATGTAGCACCTATTGCTTTTCCCGTAAAAGAATTAAGCATTTTGTACTGTGATTTCTATTCACTGCCCTAATTCGAGATATACTGAAGCATTGCTATAATGTGAAATCTTATAGTCATGGACCTCTTCCAACCAGATTTCTGAAATGACCAGAGGAATTATATAATTCTGTCTCACCTATTATATGGTCCTGTGACATGATATCAAAACCACAAATTTTATATAGTGAGGCTACGATTATGTTTATCTGTTTTGGCTTTGCAGTATAATTTAGAAAGCAGGTATAGTTGTTTGCTTGTTTTTTAACTAAGCTACATACAATCTCTTATTGATTTGAGCTTACTAACAGTTTTTGGAGGGGGCAGAGATAGGAGTGCCCACAGCTGAGGCATGATTCCCTCCGTTCAGACCTCTGACTGTTGCTTGAGTACACAGATGTGCCCTGATATCTGGTCTCTTGGCCATAGTACTGTGCCTAATCAATGTAATGGGTTTATTTCCCCAACTCGTGAACTAAAAAATGTTCATAACATGATGAATTGTAGACTAGTAACATTTGATGCTTTTAAATGTTTGCTCCTTTTTAAACAAAAACTAAAACCCAGAAGTGAATTTTCAGGTGGATTTTTAAATAAAAAGATTGTTTGAATTTGGTGTGCGCAAGCTGTTTTATAATGAAACCACAAAATAAAATCCAAAATTATTGGTGTGCCTAAACTATTAAAACACACAACACAGTTGATGTGTGAAGATGCTAAAATGTGTTAATGTGGAAGGTGAACACATTTTCAGATTTAGAACACAACAATAAGTATATTCAATAAGTATATTATTAATTAAAAAATGGAGGGCGCCTGGGTGGCCCAGTTGGTTAAGCAACTGCCTTCGGCTCAGGTCATGATCCTGGAGTCCTGGGATCGAGTCCCGCATCGGGCTCCCTGCTCTGCAGGGAATCTGCTTCTCCCTCTGACCCTCCCCCCTCTCATGTACTCTCTCTCATTCTCGCTCTCTCAAATAAATAAATAAATCTTTAAAAAAAAAAAATGGAACTCTTATTTAAAGCTACCTACCAAAAGAGTCTAAGGCAATAGACTTAACTTTTTTAGTGTAGTTTTTCAATTTTTTACAAGTTACCATTTTTGAAGACCTGCAGCACTCTAATTTATAGACGTTTTCCCACTGTGCAGAGTAATTTAAGAATTGAAATATATTAGGCAGTTTGTGTTAGAAAATGAAATCACGTTAACACGTTGTATCAACAAATTAAAAGACAGTTTCTTATGGAGCATTATTTTCCAAACATTTTTTAGCAGTGGAATCTTTCTTCAATAAAATTTCATGTAACCCCAACACATAAAGCCTGAAAAGTTCATTTTATCAGTGTAAATATTTTGGATTCGCATTTAAGTTTATTTCTTAGTCCACTACTAGGAATAAAATTTGCGAATAACACAAACGTGTAATTGGCATTATAGAGTTGGTGAAAAACTTCAGCAGCCAGTTTGTTTTATTTGCATATTATCAAGAAAGTTTTGATTCACACAAAAGTAAGTGTAAATAATAGCAGGTTTTAAACACACATCTCAGAAGATTCTTTAATTAGAGATAGCTGAAGTAGTATTCCAAGGTTTAAAAAAAAAAAAATCATTCTTGTAGTGGAAGGGGGATATGTAACACATTAGAATGTGCATTTTTATTAAGTTTTAAAAATACACATGTATAAAAACAAAATTTTTTAAAACCCTAATCACCTCCAAGAAGCTGAGTTTTGGCCAGGCAAGAGTTGGAAACGACTGGTGAATCATGTGACAGTTAACGTTATAAGTCAGAAGTGTTTTTCTGCCACGTTTGATGTTTTCTATTTTTTTATTCCTTACTTTGAATAGCTGTAAAATTTTATGAAGGTTTGAATACCAAAGCACAGTTCTGCTTTTAAGAATTGAAATTTAAACTTGAATAATTTAAGCTACTTAACCCATGGAAGGTATCACTTAGTAAGCTATAAAAGATGGTTTTTATCTACACTCTATACTTTCATCAATATCGTATAAGCTACTGTGAGCATTTTAGAGAATCCCATAAGGTACTACTATGAGTGTGTGTGTGTGTGTGTGTGTATAGCATTGTATTTAATCATAGACTAAATTTGATAGAGAAATACTGCTATACTTGCACATTAAGGTCATAAGTCAATTTCTTCTGGAGTATAATTAACGAGGGTCACAACTTCATATTCATAAATGCATTTAAACTGGAAATTGAACAGTGTTTGTTTTTCTTTTTCTACTAGTAGGAAGTTGTCTGCTTACCCCCTTTTAACGAAAACAGTATTTTTGATATTTTTTAAAACGTTAGCTACTTTATGCCTGTAGACTATACCATAGACAGTGATCATAATTCTCGGATGCTTTCAAACGCTCTTAGTGCCTCTTTCTTTGGCCCACTGAAAGTATTGGTATTAGTATTTTGAATGAATACAGAGCCTGTAAAATTTTAGAGACAAGGTGAGCCAATCCCTCCTAATCCTGTCTTTGAGTCATTCTGGTAGGTCTTGTCTTCTATTGTCAAATAAGCAATCAGGTCCATGGCAGGGGTTGTACATATGATCAAGTAGATACAGGGAGAGAGACATACATATATATATATCCTAGGGTAAGATTGATTGTCAATAACATCTGATATGTTATATGTAAATCTGTATATAATTTAAAATACTGACTGCTCTGAGATGAAAAGCCATGGTGTAAATGAATAATGTAGACATTATAGACTTGATAGAATGAAAAGTTGATTGCCAGGTTGTGGAGATAATTGGTTTTTACTCTGACTAAATATGTTTATATATTACTATAGCTTGAAATAGTTTAGTTTGTCTTCTCTTCCGTAAACTTAACTTTCTTTAGGTTCATTATAATGTTTATTATGAGTTTCAGTAAACTGTTTAGTCAAGGGATTAACATAGCTTCTACTTTCTTTACCTAAAAAGACATGGCTTTGTGTAAGTTGTTGTAACCTGAATCGATTGTTGATAATCATCCCAAATTTCAGTAGCAAAATCTTATGTATAAGTTTATTTTCCCCCTCTTGCACTACTTTTTTTGTAAAGATCCAATTGTAGATATTTTCTGCTACCAAATAAAACTTTTCAAACAATTTGGTTTCAAGACTTTAGTCAGTTTGGATACTGAGACTGTGAACCAAGAAAGACATATAAATTTATATTTCTAACCCTTCCTTAGAGTCTATCTAAATAAAAAAAAAAAAAAACCAATTCTGCCATTTATTGTATGTTGTCCCTTGAACAACATGGGTTTGAACTGTGTGGGTCCACTTACAGATTTTTTTTCAGTAAATACAGAGCAGTACTCTAAATGTATTTTCCTTATGATTTTCTTAATAGCATTTTGCTAGCTTTATTTATTGTAAGAACACAGTATATAATACACATAACACCAAATATGAATTAATAGACTATATTATCAGTAAGGCATCTGGTCAACAGTAGATGAAGGCATCTGGGTGGCTCACTTGGTTAAGCATCTGCCTTCAGCTCAGTTCATGATCCCAGGGTCCTGGGATCGAGGCTCACATGGGGCTCCCTGCTCAGTGGGAAGTCTGCTTCTACCTCTGTCTGCCGCTCACCCTGCTTGTGTGCACTCTCTCTCTCTCCTTCTCTCTCTCTCTCCCTCTCTCTGACAAATAGATCTTTAAAAAAAAAAATTAGATTATTAGTAGTTAAGTGTTAGGGAAATCAAAAGTTACATGTAGGCTTTTGACTGTGCAAGGGGTCAGCATCCCTAAGTCTTGTTCAAGAGTCAGCTGCACTTTCCCAGCCCTACTTCCATAGGGTCACTCATTTTCTGCAACCAGGATCTCATTAGATCATGCTGAAATACAATCATCACACTCTTAATAAGAAAATCCTCTGAGACTGTTGCCACAGGCATATGCCCTTGTTACGCCTTCATTTAGCCAAGTGCTCCCAGCCTTTTGTTGAGTAAAAGGCCAATAAATAAGGGTCTGCATGCAACCTTTTCCATCAGAAGATACTTCTTATATATAAAACATGATTTGGGAAATGATAACTGGCTGGGCTTGTTCATTTCTGTGAGTTTTCAAACATCTCCAGTACTTCATAAAACCCCAAGAATGGCCACGTCGGTCCTTTGGCCTACTCATTCCAGCATTAGATATTTGGGGAGTTTGGGGAATGTGAGATTATCTTCTTTGAGACCATGCACTCCTCATCTGTGTTTCTGTCACCTTGTAAATGGTGACACTTCTGACTATTTGCATATTATTTCTTTGGAAAAAAAGCTGCTTTCTCTGGTAAACACCTTTTGAGTTACAGTTTTATTAAGAGTTTTATAGAGAATAACTTGGCAATTCTGTGGATTTGTTATTGCATATTTAAAAGCTGAGTCAGTGATGGGAGGCATTTTATTAACTTGTGATGGGTAACATTCCTCCTTTATTTCCCTTTTTTAAAATTAAAAATATTTTTGTAATAAAATAAGTGAACATGTGTAGAAAACTAAGTTTCTAAGATGTGTTTCTGTACTTCATTAGAACAGGGTTTTATTACTATTACAGTTTTTATGTTGGTGATTAACTCTTAGCATAATATGTCTCTGATTTTGTGTTCCAGGTGATGCCCAGAACATTGGGAATACTCAATGTGAGGGATGTACCGTGTACAGAAAAGAAAACAAATCAAATCCCTCCAAAAGCCCACTTTTCTCAAATACAGTATTGTGATGGTTGTATCAACTTGGCTAGGCTGTTGTGCCCATGTGTTTGTCCAAACACTAGTCTAGATGTTGCTGTGAAGGTATTTTGTAAATGTGATTAAAGCATATCACCCTCCATAATATGGATAGACCTCATCCAATCAGTTGAAGGTTTTAAGAGCAAAAGCTGAGGTTTCCCACAGAAGGATATCTGCCTCAAGACTGTAGCATAGAAATCCTGCCTGGGTTTCCAGCCTGTCAGCCTGCCCTACAAATTTCAAACTTGCCAGTGCCCACAATTGTGTGAACCAATTCCTTAAAATAAATCTCTCCCATAGATAAGTGGATAGATGGATGGGTGAACGGGTAGATCAATCAGTCGATTCTGTCGGTCTGTCTCGTAAACCCTGACTGATACCAGTATTAATTCATTAATCTGAGTGCCTGTTACGCATATACCAAGCAATGATTTTTGAGGTTTAACTTGAAATATATTGGCAGTCTCTACTCCAAAATTATTTCCTCTTCTAAAATTAAAGTGTCCATGAATTTCTGAAGCCATTTACTAACAGTGAAACATGTTTCTCCTTATGCTAGCCATAACTTTTGTCTTTCAGGAACCATTACACTGGCATGAGGGGGAGACAGTATGCTAAAAGAAACAAAGATTATTAGATTCTTGCTGGGTGAGGCACAGTATCTTCTTAACAGAATTCCATTTGCTACTCTCAGGTTATGGTCTTGACTGTTGTCACATGTTATGACCTTAAGACATTTATTTAATTATCCCTGCTTTAAATTTCCCTTGTGTATGTGAGACACATATCCTATATACCTCTAAAACTAGTTCTGTAAAAACACTTTGTCAAAACAATGAGACTGAAAGTTGCTCACTCCAATCCTTAGACAAAGCAATAATTCTGAAGTTCAGACTAAGAAGAAAGTACTGTTGTCTCACATTTCAATTCTACTGGATGGTAGCCTATTAAAAATTAAATCATTAGCTCCTAGTGTGGCATTATGCTAGGTGCTGTAGGAAACAAATTTACATCATCTTTATATTTAAAATTGTGTGAAATAACATTATATGAGACAGTAAATTACTTCTGAGGTACTAATGATGAGCTACTGAAGAAGACTCAAAGTATCATAGTCAAGAAAAGCTTCAAAGAGATGGAGATTGAGCTGGGTCTTGTAGGGTGGGCAAGAAGGAAAGAGGGCATCTGAAAAGACAACAATATGAACAATTTATTATTAGTTTGCTATTGTTTTGTGAGAAGAGGGATGTAAAAATGTCAGAAGAGGCAAAATATGGAGAGCTGTGTATCAGGTCGAAGATTATGAATACTGTACTAGTTATCTAATGCTGTAACAAACCAAAATGTAATGGCTTTTAGGCATAATAAAAAAGTCATTTATTCTCAGTTTCCATGGTCAGAAATTTAGGATTGTCTTGGCTGGGCAGTTCTGGCTCAGAGTCTTTAATAAAATGACAAACTTCTCCAAAGAAGACATACAAATATGGCTAACAGACACGTGAAAAAAATGCTCAACATCACTAGCCATCAGGGAAATACAAATCAAAACCACAATGAGATACCAGTTAGAATGGCAAAAATTAACAAAACAGGAAACAACAATTGTTGGCGAGAATATGGTGAAAGGGGAACCCTCTTACACTGCTGGTGGGAATGCAAGCTGGTGCAGCCACTCTGGAAAACAGTATGGAGGTTCCTCAAGATGTTAAAAATAGAGCTACCCTATGACCCAGCAATTGCACTACTGAGTATTTATCCCAAAGATACAGATGTGGTGGAAAGAAGGGGTACATGCACCCAGGTGTTCATAGCAGCAGTGTCCAAAATAGCCAAACTGTGAAAGGAAATGAGATGCGCTTCAACAGATGAATGGATAAAGAAGATGTGGTCCATATATACAGTGGAATATTACTCAGCTATCAGAAAGGATGAATACCCACCATTTGCATAAACAAGGATGGAACTGGAGAGGATTGTGTTAAGTGAAATAAGTCAAGCAGTGAAAGACAATTATCATATGGCTTCACTCATATGTGGAACACAAGGAATAGCATGGAGGAACATAGGGGAAGGGAGTGAAATCTGAAGGGGGAGAAATCAGAGAGGGAGACAAACCATGAGAGACTCTGGACTCCAGAAAACAAACTGAGGGTTTTAGAGAGGAGGGAGGTGGGGGGATGGGATAACAGGGTGATGGGTATTAAGGAGGGCACGTGTTGTGATGAGCACTGGGTGTTATATGCAACTAATGAATTATTGAACACTACATCAAAAACTAATGGTGTACTATACAGTGTCTAACTGAACATAATAAAAAAATAAAAAATAAATTTAAAAAAATAAAATAACAGTCAAATCAGCTGAATCTATAGTCATCTTGGGGCTGAAGGATCTGCTTCCAAGGCAGCTCACGCACGTACTGGCAAATTGGTAGGAAGCCTGTGTCCCGCTTCATGTGGGCTTCTTCACAGAGCTGCTTGAGTATCCTTGTGGTATGGTAGCTGGCTTCCCCCAAAGCTAGTAATCCCCAGCACTAAGCATAGGCTTCAGTGTCTTCTATGACGTGGGCTTGGAAGCCACACACTGTCATCTCTGTTGTACTCTAATGGGTCATATAGTCCACCCCTGATTGATTGTGGAAGAAAACTTACAAAGACATGAATACCAGGAAGTAAGGATCGCTGGAAGCATCTTAGAGGCTAGCTACCACAAAGGCAGAGTTGTGTGTTAAGAGATGAAGCCAGTGGGGCGCCTGGGTGGCTCAGTCGTTAAGCATCTGCCTTCGGCTCAGGTCATGATCCCAGGATCCTGGGATCGAGCCCCGCATCGGGCTCCCTGCTCAGCGGGAAGCCTGCTTCTCCCTCTCCCACTCCCCCTGCTTGTGTTCCCTCTCTCGCTGTGTCTCTCTCTGTCAAATAAATAAATAATCTTTAAAAAAAAAAAAGAGAGAGAGAGATGAGGACAAGGATGGAAGGTCTTGAGAACCAAGTGGAACTCAAGTGCATTGGGAATTAAGGACTTTAAAACATCAGAACAAGCCTAAGCATTGAAAGAGTAGGCCACAGGAAGTAAGGAAATCATTCTAAACCCAGGTCTAGGAGTATAGCTGTGTGTTCTCATAAAATCCAAAGCTATTTAACAGTTACTGAAACATTGTGTTTTATATTTATTCTTATCCCCATAATACTATAGGTAGGTACTACTATTCTCTCCAACTTTCGAGTTCCAATTGAGACAACTCAGTGAGTATTTCCTTCAGCTCACCTACCCAAAGGTAATGGCTCCTTCCTCTGAGAATAACACAATTTGTAACTCTTAACAGATTTTTCTTATTTGGCTTTTATGATGGGTTATTAGTTTGCTAGGGTGCCCATTACAAAGTGCC